TCTGTTTCATAAGGACTACATGAATGTGATTTGATCAGATTGTATTGAAATTACAGTCATTAGATTTTTATACAAATGTTGCTAAATCCTGTGAGAAGACACACATTCAGACATTTCTAATGTAAAATGACAAAAACTGATCTTACTTGGGCAAATAAAATGTGTTTTTAGTCGTACATTGAGCAGCAAATGAAGACATGAAAAGGTCTTTAACCCTGTCGCTGTCTTACGACAAAGCAAAAAGGTCAACTTCATTCCAGGATTCCCAGCACACATTTCCTTCCTCATCAGTCCCTTCTCTCCCTGTGTTCAGGACCTCTGTCACTCCCACAGTGACGAGGCCACCATCCAGCAGAAGATCTCCACCATCATAAACTGTTTCATCAACTCATCCATGCCCCCCGCCCTGCAGATAGACATCCCTCCTGAGCAGGCCCAGCACATTCTGGAGAAACGCCAGCAGCTGGGTCCTTACATCTTCAGAGAGGCACAGGTAGTGTGTGTCCAAGAGTGCACTTTGAGTCACAGTTTTCCAGTTTTTAGGCTGCATGTGTGTGCCTTTCCTCTGTGTGTGTAGATGTCAGTATTCAGTGCCCTGCTGAAGTTTTGGCCTGAGTTTCAAGAGCTAAGCAGCAGTGTCCAAGAAGAGCACCTTCTTCCTCTACTGCAGGAGAGACGAGTCCAACACAGCGCCAGAGTCAGGAGACAGAGGAGAAAAGAGGAGGAAGAGGAAGAGAGGAAGAGATCTCAGGTACTGAGGGGATAAAAGATGAGCAAATGTGATTATACAACTCCATAGTGTTGAGGTGAGGCTGGTAAAGAGCTTATTGAGTCTGACTTCTCTTCTCAGGAAGAGTTGGAGAGACAAGAGTCCAGTTTTAGAAAGGAGGAAGAGACAGACGATGAAGATGATATAGAAGAAGGACAAGAGAGAAGAAATGTAACAAAAGAGTGGAGGACACAGAGCAGGGTGCTGCTGACTCCCACACAGCCGGTAAGAATGTCCATAATGAGGAAACATCATGCATGCAGAAATGATTTTGTGTCAAATGTATCATATGAAGCGAGCCAAACCAAATACAATTATTTTATTTTCACGGAGATCATAACATATTCAAATAAAAACGTCAGTGATGAGGACAATGCCTCATCAGTTCTAACCACAGACTATAAGAGAAACTTGATCACCTAATTGAAGCACTTTTCTAATCACGCTTTGACTGGATTTTTGGAAATGTTCCTTCAGTTGTCGTGGTCCTACTCCAAGTACATGGCGGCTCTGAGGAGAGAGGAGGTGCTGCTGAGGAGACAGAGTCAGCTGGGAGCCTCAATCCCTGCCTCAGGTACACACACACACACACACACACACACACACACACACACACACACACACACACACACACACACACACACACACACACACACACACACACACACACACACACACACACACACACACACACACACACACACACACACACCCAGCCTCACCTACTCTCTGCTACTAGTCAGACTAAATGCAGGAAACCATAACGCTGAAATGACATCTAGCGTTCCCACAGTAAAATCCAAGCTACATTTCCAAGGCTCCGATACCACCTGGCAGTGGAAAGCAAGGCATTGTCAAACCAAGCCCTTCCACATGCCAGAACTCTCTCATAATGTAGAACTCGGGCCAAAGCAAACACTTGGGCCTGTCCATCAAGTGTCAATGTTCTGTGCAGCTCTGAGCCAACACTGATGCTAATGCTAATGCCGCCCATAGTGAACGAGCACCAAAAGAACACACATTGCAAACAACATTTGAAAGGGAAATACTATTTGTCACACAGATGGACATCATCACTGAAACCTGCACGATGGCCACAACTGTAGGGCAATATATCATACACACGTGGGAGGGAGCGTGGCCTGGGGAACAAAGGGAGAGGTTTGGGCAGGAAGTTTTTGTTGTTTGATTGAGTTTGGGGAGGAGAGACTGAGAAGGAAGAGGGGAGACTTGCAGCTTATCACAGATTAAAAAAGCAGTAGAGAGCAGTAGAGTCTGAGGACCGTTAGCATTGATCACCAACCTCGTCTAGAGCCAGAGTTTTTGTCCCTCCTTGACTGTTGGTGAGGTCAAACATTTTTGGGGATTATTTACCTTGTGATTTGCAGGTTGTTGGTGTTGACATGTAAGACCTGTCTTGTCTTATAACTTGAACTATTTCAGTGTGATTCCAGTTCATGAAGGTTATTGATACTATTTTGGTTGTCTGGAAAAGTGCTATTCAGCGTTAAGTTGTTTAAAGTGGACCTATCATGCTATATTTGAATAATATAGTGTAGGACCATACCTATATAAGGCATATTTATACTTTTTTTTTTTCAAAATACCAAACAGATCATGCATTTTAGCCATGCCTCATTTTGCTCAATTTGACATTTTTTAGATCTGTTTTAGCAAGGGTTGATTCTGTGAGAACAGCACCACCTACTGGCCTGGCATATGTACTACAGCGTCTCCAGCGCTTTCGAACGGCAATGCCGTGGCTGTCTCCTCCTGATTGGTGGAGTTGGCCCAATAGCCGTAGCGCCACCGTCCTGACGTCAGGACAGTGTTCAAATCTGGATCAGTTTTTATCAGATCTGTTGCAGCCCCTTTTTTAGAGATTTGGGTATGGAGGAAAATAGAGAGGGTTGTGTTTTCTGACACTTGGTGAGTTCCCTGGAACACCGGGGACACATATTCATGTATAAAAGACGTACAAAAGTGCATTTTGCATGATAGGTCCCCTTTAAGTTTAACACTGACCCGAAATGCACTGGCCAAAATGTCTTATTTAAGGCCAATGGCAGTATATGTACTGTATATGAATGTGTACGTTTATGTGTGTATGATACATTTGTGTGCATATGTATATGTTTATGGTAACACTTTATATTAAGGTACACAAATTCACCATCAACTAGTTGTTAATTAACATGCATATTAGCAGTATATTGGCTCTTTATTAGTCCTTATAAAACACGTATTAATGCCTTATTCTACATGACCATATTCTACAAGTAATAAGCCATTAATTGAGAGTTTTTCCTCAATAACCCTCTAATTAGTGCTTATTTATTGCAAGTAAGGAAGTTGTTGTACATGAGTTTTGGTCTTAATATGCGCTGCTCAATATGGGCCTAATAAGGCAGTAGTACCACAAGAATAGTAATTCTCCCATAATAACACTTAACAAATATGATCTATTCTTATGTAACAAGACATGAAACTAAGTGTTAATTAAGTCTAAATAACTCAAAATGAGGTATTTCTATCTAAGAACGTGAAGTCTTGTTCATAACCAATAAGCTAGTAGTTTGACTCTAATTGACCTGAACAGGTTCCCTATTCCTCTTCACACTTTGTAAATACATTATAGCACACACCTACTGAAATTAACCTCAACAGTACATGAACAAATTAGGCACAAGTTGAAATATCTGTTTTATTAATGAACCACTAAAGAGAGGTTCAGACCATAGACTGTATATATAAAGGTTCAGACACATTCCAAAACATGTCAAGTTTCTCCAAGGCTGAGAACACATATACCTGTTACAGTCAACAATTGCTTATGGTAAATAACATGGCAAAAAGAGTTTAGCTAACATTAGCTAACGTTGTGGGAGAAACTTCTGTGTAGCAATGCAGTGGGAGTCACCGACTCAGGAAGGAGACATGGGATAGAGCTGGAGCTTTGATGTCAAACACTGATGGTTTATTACGAGTTTCGGCCGGAGAATTCACAAAACAAGTCCAAGAGCCAGAGGTTCTGACTTCACGGTAGAGTTGCCACGTCAATTCTGAAGAACTCTACCCCAGACCCGTGTATTTAGCTAGTTCAGAGAGAATAATCAACATTGTGCATAACAAGATAGAATCATAACACCTCTATCAGCTGACGCCAACAGGCAGGAACAGGGAGACAAAACACTGAGAGCACAGCAGCCAAGGTTACAGGTGTGTGTGCTCAGTCAGGACAGTATGAACTGATAAACTGGGTCAAAGTTATGCGCCTTGGAAAATATTTCCCCAACAAACGTCATGTTCAACACAACACCTCTAACTGCATTACATTGACGATTTTAAACAAAACTTTACTCTCTCAACTTGTAAGATAAAGTTAAGTTAACTTACCCTTAAATAACTACATCACGTTTTTCAGGGTCAACACAAACTGCAGAAAAGTTAGCTACTAACTGTTGTTAGCTAAGACAGCTAGCTCTTGCAGTAGCGTGGCGTGGGAAAAAATGTAGGGGAAGCCCATTTTTTTGGGTTGGGGGGGGGGGGGGGTCAATAACGTAACCAGATGAGTGATTACAGCGCCGGTATCATTTTACACACATTTGTATCACACAGATGCAGGACTTGCACACGCCTGTTATCTAACCGACAGGTCCGCACGCCCTCTCCAGCCGAAACTCTCTCGTCTTATTAATTTAAGCATTTTCTTATTAATGTATGCAGACACACCCCCCCCCCCAAATGCAATACCAGCCGCTCAATGCGCGGTGCAGATTCGGTAATGAATAAAAAAGAAGCATTCATTCACAAAGTAAACCAGGAGACCTTTAAAGTTTTACTCACATAAAAGTATCAGTAGGCGTGTATGAAACACATGAATTCAAAAACAATTATGTACAGAAACATTTGCATGTGATAGTCCACCTTCTCTTCCCTTCCCTTTCTAACACACGGCAAGTGCAGCAACAGTCCTCGTCTCTGTAATTAGCTCAGTCCGTAGTCCAAAAGTAACTAAAAAATATAAACAATCTCATCTATTCAGGTGATCGATTGGATGGCAGTGTCCAATCAAATCGCCAGCCACCAGCCGCCTCTGAAGGGAAGCCAGAGGCGGCTGGCTTCCCTTGGCATGGCCCTGGCCAATCACAGGTTGGCAGGGGCATCACGTGGGCCTCATCTGATTGGTCAATCCCTCAATTTTTTTTCACCAAGGGAAGCCCGATTCAGCTGGCCTCCTCTCGCAACAGTGAATGCAATCTACTGTTTCACCATAACATCTAGAGGGGCGCTGTTTGTTTCACTCTTTGTAAAATACTCAATGAGAGTGGGGGAGAGACGGGCCGGCAGCAACACACAGCAAAGGAGAATTATCGAAACAAAACAAAGTGTTTTTATTTATTTATTTAAATTATAACTACAATCCGAAAAAACAGGGGAAGCCTGGCTTCCCTTGGCCTCCGGGAGAAAACGCCACTGAGCTCTTGGGGTGCTGCTAGTGGAGCACGCACGTGAACGCAGAGCGCCGGAGCCTCGCAGCAGCGAAACTGTGGCGCGCTTAATTGCACCGCATTTGCGTATAAGCAAAGATGAGGCTCCCTCTGCAAGATGAGGCTCCCTCCGCAAAATGAAGCCCCATCCGCAACATGAGGCCTCATGCAGTCTGCGTGATCTGCGTAGGGAGCCTGGTTACCATTCTTGTGCTACTACTGCCTTATTAGGCCCATATTGAGCTGAGCATATTGTAGCGTCTCGCTACAGGAACACAGGGAGGCTTGGTTTGTCCTTTATCCGGGAGTTTATTATACAGATCACAGGTTACTGTTGGCCATAACCACGCCAAAACAATCCACTAACCCTGTCGTATTCTCACTCTCCGTCACATATCCCGCTAGCTCTTTTCTAGCTTCCCGCGTCTCACCCTCTAGGAACCTCCCTCTTCCAGCCCCAACCAACCAGACAACACTCTCCCACCCAAACCCACAGCTACAGGTCACAAGAACCGTCCATCAAAACAGTGGCACGTTCACTGACATTCTGTAAAATGCAAACAAACTCTGAACAACAAACACATCAAACATCAACATTATAACCAGTCCGTTACAATATTAAGACCAAAACTCATGTACAACAACTTCCTTACTTGCAATAAATAAGCACTAATTAGAGGGTTATTGAGGAAAAACTCTCAACTAATGGCTTATTACTTGTAGAATATGGTCATGTAGAATAAGGCATTAATACGTGTTTTATAAGGACTAATAAAGAGCCAATATACTGCTAATACGCATGTTAATTAACAACTAGTTGATGGTGAATTTGTGTACCTTCATATAAAGTGTTACTATGTTTATGTGTGTATCACAGTATAGTATGTTGAAAAAGAAAGGAAAAAGGTCTTTATGAATTTATATTTTGTGTACTTATGTATATGTATGTATGTATATGTATACATGTGTAAATGCATGTTTCTGTCGTACTCCTGAACAGACACCAGTCTCTGGCTCTACAGAGGGCCTTTTTTACATCACCTTGATCACACGTTAGGAAAGGGAGGGGGAACTGAGGGGTATTTAAAAAACGTACCACTGGATGCCACTAAATCTTACACATCGGTACTTTAAGGCAAACATAACCCTTGTTATACTATATATAAAACATGAGTCAACAGTAACCCAGGGACGATACACGAGCAGATGTTCACCCTGTGTCGTTTAACTGTCTGCAGGGTCGTCCTCCGCCTGCAGTGTCCGGTCAGCAGCCAGGACACGCCCCTCCAGAACAGACAGTACACAGTGTGACAGATACAACAGTAAGTTGAAATGAAGAGTGAAATGACCAATACAAGCCTCTGAAACACAACTGGCTCACGTGTTACTGCACAGGGTGTGAAGGCCTGCAACATGAAATGAAACCAAAGACTTGATGGCGTATTGCTCTGACACTGACGGATGAGGGTGCTGTTATAAGAGCATGAGGATTGAAAGCTGAGAGCAGAACTGATACTGATATCTTTATGGGCTGGTAGTTTGACTTATTATGTAAGAAGATCACTTAGAAACCTGTGTGCAAAACATCGACTCACTACTAACTTTAGTTATGCCTGGCTGCACATCCATCATTTATAATATTTCCCAGTTTCTTCTTGACTTTTTCTTAGTATACAATGACAGAATAACACTTCATTATTTCAATGTTTTTATTAAATGATGTTCTATTCATATATTATCCATGTACATAAAAAGCATTCGACTCTCACTCAGAGTTCAGTGGATCAACAATATAAAAGGCAATAATGATGAGTTGGCATCCACGTACAGTAAGTTTACAAAGAACATTGTTATCGTCAAACAAGTTGTGACATCATCTATAAAAACATTTTGGTTGACAGCTGGGATCTCTAACATCCTTCAACATTTCTATAATATTGCACTTAGCATTGGCATGAGACAGTAAACAGTGATTGTGCAGAGTGAAACACTGCACACTGTCCTGTCACACTGAAGAGCTTTCACAATGCGCCCTGATTTCAAGTTGGCGCAACTCTTCTTTGTTTTAGTGTTCACTATACTGTAGTATGAGCTCATTGAAATGTCCCAGTTTAAGAAATGTATTTCTATCATTAAAACTGTTTTGAACCCTTCTGATTTCTTCTGTGATTTGTTTGCGTATTAATCAAAAATATATCTTCCAAAATACATTGCTTAGAACTCTCTCCATATCTAAGGCATAACCAAGTGGACTTAGTTTGATAATATATATTCTTTTAAATTAACATTTGTTTTGCATAAATGTGTAGTTATATTTTCAGATCCATAGTTCGGTGTATTTTAAGGCTTAATATGGAATAAAAAGGTCCGGTTTATTTGGTGGCAGAAATCCATAGATGTGTGTTAGTGTATATTAGTGGAATCCAATGTGTAAGGCTTTATTCTTCACCATTGTGAACTTGCTGACAAACACCTTGGCGAAGGCAGGATCCACCAGGTAGCGGTAGGACTTGGTGACGGAGGGGGGGGGGCTCTGCCAGCGTCACTGGGAGCTGCAGCTGTAGAGAGCCCGCGGAGGGGGACAGGAAGTGGGCGGCTCGCAGCACGTAGTCCACCAAGCGGCGATACTGCTGCTCCGTCAGGCGCTCACGCACACCGTCACCCTGAGGGAGGACACACACCATTAGGAATGGCCTCCATACCACTGCCATCTAGGACACATGATGTCAGAACTATTTTATGGTGCAATCTATGTTCCCTTGTCTGAGCTCATTTGTTACTTTCCTTCAATATTCTGCTCGGCTCTTGGTTGAGCATACAGCATGCTGCTGAGCGAGCATACAGCATGCTGCTGAGCGAGCATACAGCATGCTGCTGAGCGAGCATACAGCATGCTGCTGAGCGAGCATACAGCATGCTGCTGAGCGAGCATACAGCATGCTGCTGAGCGAGCATACAGCATGCTGCTGAGCGAGCATACAGCATGCTGCTGAGCGAGCATACAGCATGCTGCTGAGCGAGCATACAGCATGCTGCTGAGCGAGCATACAGCATGCTGCTGAGCGAGCATACAGCATGCTGCTGAGCGAGCATACAGCATGCTGCTGAGCGAGCATACAGCATGCTGCTGAGCGAGCATACAGCATGCTGCTGAGCAAGCAACAATAGGTCATAGAAAATGGGTTTTCTTCAGAGTTTTGTCCTTGCCCTTTTTTTGGGTGGCAGGGTTAAAACATAATGTATACATGTATAGATGTTGATCAATTAAAGCTGGGGGGGAACCTTGTTATGGCATTGAGAGTAACACTTTTGAGAGTATGTCTTTTATTTAATTAATTCAATCTTTTCTTTGAATGTCAAATTGTTTTCAATCTGGTTGGCCACTCCAGAAACCTGCCATGCTCCCAGGTGTTGCTTCATCGCTCTGGCCCCCTGTCCCCCCTCCCTGCTCCTTTAGCATTACCCGTCTGCCAGTGTGGGAAAGTGGCCACAGACACCTCTGCTTCAGTCTGCCATTCAGAGCCTTCCCTGCTGATGAGCTTGCTCAGCATTGTTTGCACTCCTTTTAGAAGGGCTTTCATTTCATTACATTTATACAAAGCTATAAAGTTTAGTTTATTTTTGCACAAGTTAACTGTAAAATAAAAAATCAGAAAAGCAGTTCAATTACTTAAAGATCTCTCCTATCTTAACTGTAGATGTGATTAGTACTTATCACATAGTGTAAGCAGTGATTTAAGGTTTTCTCTTTTTGCACCATGTGCAGCCCGTTACAGGGAGTCTTACCTCTGTGTCGCTGGCTACTGTCTGCTGCTGTAAGGTGAGGCTGAGCTGGCCCCCCTGCCCCGGCTCCTGCTGGCACACCACCTGCAGGAGACAGGACGCGTTACATTCACAGCCACACAGCTACAGAAAGGCTCATTTGACTGTAACAGGAGCTGTTTCTCTATCTTACCTCTGTGATGGGGAAGGCCTGCTGCTGGGTGTCCTCACTGAGGCTGACCACAAACAGCACCTCCGAAGTGAGGAGCAGACAGCCAGCATGCTCCTGACCCGAGCCGCTCACCAGGGTCACCTCCAGGGCCATGTGGAGCTCCGGCCGCCCCAGAGACTGGAGCATCTTCCTGTGGGCAGACAACACAAGTTATAAGACTATCTGGAACATTAAAGTGGTTCAATCTTAAAAACAAGACTATGTAGTTGTATTCTTATCAAAGCACTATAGGCAGTAACTACATACTTCAGGGTGCATAGATTGTATGTGTACATATACACACACATAATTGCAGTCTTGCTGACTTCAGATAAAAACTTTTCCTACAAGACCACACAATGTGCCCAACTCTTCAGCCCCAACACACACAAACAAGTGAGAATATGTGTCTATATACATCCTGCAATTTACATTTCTTCATGTTTTCCGGGTGGCTCCTATTACACACATGCTGGATGGGGAAATATGTGCCGGGGCTACAGTCTTCCGTCATGTTTCTCTGACAGTGTGTTTACTTTGGAAGGCAGGTGTTCAGATTGCAGAGCAGATGTTGAGGCGGCCACAGGAGGGACACTTTGGTTCTGTTCAGTGTTACTCCGCTCAAACAGTTTGACCCTTCAAGTGTCGGGCTACCTGTAGTAGTACAAATAATTGATGGATGCCTGATGGAAACCAGTTTGACTGCAATGCAGCATGAACACAACCACAGGGGAGCATTATCTCAGCATCTGTGTGTTTTCATCTTTTTTTCATCTTCCTTTTAGCACACTGCCAACCCCTGGAGTGATGACAACTAAAGTGGAATGTCCTAGAGAAATATTGTATCTAAAATGTGGCTTCTTTTCTTATGGCAGTTTATAGTGGACACAGACTACTATTAGAAGTAAAGGTTTGATAGCTATGGAAACCAAATTAAATTGCGGAAAATGTGAAGTGCTTTCAAAGGCTCCTGATAACCTTCCGGAGACACAGGCCTCTCATACATTTGTATGATAATATTCAGTGCTCCACTGTGCTTGAAACACTCAGATCTGATGCAGCACTGTCCAAACCACTGCCATATGTTTAACACAAGACCCAAACCTCCTGCTTGGCACAACATGCAATCTGTGTCAACTCAATCTCTCCTAAATTCCAAAGCCTTGGAGCACACAGAGGAAGGTGTTCCTCCATCTGATGGCATGGGGAAAGATCTCTGGATAAACTCAAAGCTAAACAACAAGAAAGAACATTTCTAGCTTTGGCAGAGTGCTTATAAAAACCTTTTAACATGGCCCGATGAGAACAGGGGAGGGCAGCCTGGCTACCATGTGTGGGATCAAGGTCAAACTTTTTTCCAGACCCATTTCTTTTTGGAAAGTGGGTAATGAACCCTCCAAGGTTTTTTTTTTTAAACAAGACAGCAACAATGATGAGTGTTAAGGGAAAGAAAAAGAAAATCAATTCCTGGAGAGAGCCCAAGAAAAGCAACAGCGAGAACACATGTCCCATTTCTAAGGAGAAGCTGGACACAAATGAAGGAAGAGCTTGCAGGAAGAATGTGGGCTGGGAGGGGCTGGGTCTTACCACACATATTTAAGGTGGCTGTTAGGGGCCCGACAAGACTTCTCCTCCGTAGGCAGGTACAGCTGTTTAGGAAGCTGCCACAGTCCGGCTCCATGAAGGATCCCTGCAGAAGAGACAGACAGGAAGACAGTGCCATCAGAGTGGACCACAAGCTGATCAATCAGACATTGATGGAAAAAGATTCCGTTAGTGTTAAACTGCATTACTAACAATGCACATTTCATTTTCATAAAAAAGAGGTGGAAGCGTTTTTAAATATTTGACTTTAGTTAAAAAAGAATACCACAATGTCAAAAATTATTAAGTATGAGCATAGAAATATATTTCAAGAATTCATTATGTAGAATGGACCATTTTAGAATAGCAATTATTATTTTCTTAGAATATTCTGATTGATGCATTCATGTGCACTGGCCACCACGTTGCAGGTGGGGTTACATTGCATTGCTAAGTAGATTAAAACATCATTTTCCAGTTGATTTATATGTTTGCATTATTAATCTGAATCTGGGGTTACCCAAAAATATATTTGATTTAATAGTGCAGTATTTGTATCTGAGATGTAGTGAAGTAGCAAAGTAAAAGTAGTCAAACAACTGTGTGTGTGTCAGTGTCAGTTCTTCATCCATGTGTGTGTGTCAGCTCTTCAGCAGAGCTGCAGCAGCAGGCCAGTGAAGTCAGCAAGTACTCACAGCCATGAACACACACTTATCCATTCATGATGTCACTGCCACTCTGCAATTCTGCTCCACTCTGAGTGGGTGTTTGTTTGCAACTCTCAGTGAGTGTGTGTGTGTGTGTGTGTGTGTGTGTGTGTGTGTGTGTGTGTGTGTGTGTGTGTGTGTGTGTGTGTGTGTGTGTGTGTGTGTGTGTGTGTGTGTGTGTGTGTGTGTGTGTGTGTGTGTGTGTGTGTGTGTGTGTGTGTGTGTGCATGTACCAAAGGCTCTTTGAGCAGTTCTCTATAGGGTCCTGCACTAGGGAAGACCAAATAAACACTTCTGACAGCCAAGGGGACAGATGGGAAACAAACTAATGTAATCATTAATCAATCCACTGATGAATTTCAGATTTTCCCAAACACAAACTCCAATTCAAATGTTTATTTGTTGACATACTCGTTGAGTTGCTACATGACTAAATCTCTTATTTAACTTCTGTCTGACAGTGATCATGTGCTCCTGTGTAACAATTAAAAGTTTGAATCTCCACAGGCAAATTGCTTCATTCTTTTCAAATGTTATTGAAATGACTTTTGGTTATGTGCTTGATGTTCCCCCAGAAAATGATGGAGCTTGTTACCTGACGTTAGAAAATAAAAATGCTTGGTCTAACAACTTCCATTAGATCAGTGGTTCTCAACCTGTGGTACGCGTACCACTGGTGGTACGCCAGCTCCCACTAGTGGTACGCCAGCTCCCACTAGTGGTACGCCAGCTCCCACTAGTGGTACGCCAGCTCCCACTAGTGGTACGCCAGCTCCCACTAGGGTACGCCAGCTCCCACTAGGGTACGCCAGCTCCCACTAGGGTACGCCAGCTCCCACTAGGGTACGCCAGCTCCCACTAGTGGTACGCCAGCTCCCACTAGTGGTACGCCAGCTCCCACTAGTGGTACGCCAGCTCCCACTAGTGGTACGCCAGCTCCCACTAGTGGTACGCCAGCTCCCACTAGTGGTACGCCAGCTCCCACTAGGGTACGCCAGCTCCCACTAGTGGTACGCCAGCTCCCACTAGGGTACGCCAGCTCCCACTAGGGTACGCCAGCTCCCACTAGGGTACGCCAGCTCCCACTAGTGGTACGCCAGCTCCCACTAGGGTACGCCAGCTCCCACTAGTGGTACGCCAGCTCCCACTAGGGTACGCCAGCTCCCACTAGGGTACGCCAGCTCCCACTAGGGTACGCCAGCTCCCACTAGTGGTACGCCAGCTCCCACTAGGGTACGCCAGCTCCCACTAGGGTACGCCAGCTCCCACTAGGGTACGCCAGCTCCCACTAGTGGTACACCAGCTCCCACTAGTGGTACGCCGGCTCCCACTAGGGTACGCCAGCTCCCACTAGTGGTACGCGGAGGAATCTGACATATAAAAAATTATTATTTTTTAAAATAATTTTTTTATTTATTTATTTTTTTACATTTTATCTAACCTTTATTTAACCAGATGAAAACATTGAGACAAAATCTCATTTACAATGCTGACCTGGCCAAGAAGGCAGCAACGTTACACGTTCTTATACATAACACAGACATGTAAAATACAGAGAACACAACTAAGTAAACAAAAAGATGAAAAGCAGTCACTACATTGTGCACATTTGGGACAGTAAGAAAGGTACACTACTTATTACTGCAAGAGCAGCTGGTGGTGAGGACCTCAGACAACTTCCATTTAAAACAGGCTATTGGGACAAGTGCCATCAGTTTGAGGCTTGATTGAATAACATGAATTCAAAAATAAATCATACTATCAAAATACTACAACGAATGAAAATAAGCTTGAGATAATTGAAACTGTGGTTTAAATAAGTTCTAATAGGCTATTGTTGTTTTTAGATTTAGAAACTAAAACATTTTTTAAATGTATTTCTGGCTTGCTAATAGAGTGCCACAGTGACGCGTCCTAAAACCCGGAATCTTCTAATCATAAATCTATCGATTAGATTTATGATTAGAAAATTATAAAAGTAGGGTAGACATGTGGAGATTATCCAACTGAACAAAACGTGACCCGTCTCTTAAATGTGTGTCAACCACAGACCTTATTTCCAGCTATTTTCCAAAATCCTATGGAGAAATTGCATTGCTTTTTGTTGAGGGAACCGGAAGAAGCTTACTTCCAGGTTTTAGGACGCGTCACTGTGGCACTCTATAATGACCATACTACCCGCGAACGATTAGCGAACGTTGCAAGCAAGCTAAAGAAAGAAGAACGCTGAATGATGTTAAAAACGTGGCTCAAAACGAGAGGTATTCGGAAGAGAGGTACTGAGGAGAATATTACCAGCGAAAGTGAACAAGTGAATGAGGAGGAGGACAGTCATCAACCGAGCACAAGCTCCGCCAGCAAGGCAAAAGTGATATGTACAGTCACAACGCTGTGATGGAGGAGAGAAGTGACTCAGGAAGAAGGCATTTGCTCAAAGAATGGAGAGAAGGCTGTGACCGAGGTCAAAAGCTGAAAAAGCACACACTTGTCCTTAATTGTTATCTTTTCTTTTTTGCCACCACAGAAATGGCAATAGCAAACATCAGCAGACTGAAGATGAGCTAGCCCTTAGCTCATCTGCTCCTGGAGGCTTCATTATTATTGTGGAACTGAATTCCCAAGAGGACATTTTCTGTTACAATGTAGGTTGTTGCAGGAGGCCTACATTCACACTTTGCTAGAGGAAAGGACATGTGTGTACAGTTGTCAGAGTTGAGTGAGAGAGAGAGAGACTGCTCTTTGTACATGTAGCTGTGGCTGACAATAAATAATGTTATTATGAATACATTTGCCTCCGAGTCCTGCATGAACTGTGCATAGACTGTATTTTAACATTGGTCATATGGTACTATTTTCTCAGGTGGTACTTGCTGTAAAAAGATTGAGAACCACTGCATTAGATGATGTCCAAATTATCCAAATGATATTTATACTGTATATATTCAAAGCGAGAATGATGCTCTGATTGTGCTTTCATTCCCTGTGTTTTGGAATCAACGAATTGTGTGTTTTTGTAAACAACAGGAAAAGTATTGGGAGTGTTACAATCACGTCTTTCAGTGAAAGTGAAAAACCAAAATGCTGTTAGCTTTGATCCTGAACTCACCATAACCTGTCTGGGACACCAGTTCAGCTGCTCCTCCGATGGGCTTAGTAAAAACACCCACAATGCCTTTCCCCACGCCAGAGATGACCCCTTTGGCATGGCTTCCCGCTGAGCTCTGTGTCTCCCAGTTCCTCTGGAAGTTCTGCATGGGCTGGTCTACAATGCCTGCAATCGCTCCTAAAGGAACAAGGACCAGGTGGTTGTTCTTTAGTATTGGGCTTTCTTCAAAAAATAGATTTACATAACGAATGAAAGTACAGGATGCAAATAATGTCCCCTTAGTGATGTCATTTCAGCAGGACATGGGAAACAGAGTGAGATATACAGACATGCCCAACAGAAAATATCAGACCCTTTCTTGTATGACGTGTTTTTTATGTATATAATCGGCTGTAACCCAGAGCGGTGCAGGCAGCTGTTTGGTTTCTGATGATATGCTCTGTGTGTCTTGATTTTTACTGCCCTCGGGTGTTTACTGAGTCCCTGCTGTGCTGTCTGCACTCCGTCTCACAGCTCTGGAGCTGTGCCTATGAAATGTGGAATGTGTGTGGGAAGAACATCTTTTGATACATATCGAGTGACCTCATGTTAAGGATAAAGAGATCCAATATTCATTGCTAATTTCAATGACTTGCTCTTGGGATTCAGGTATTATTTGTAATCATTCTTTTTACTGCAATCAGTGTGATTGCAATTCTTCACGTTTTCAAATGTCTCTGGATCACTTTCTACCTTGTGTGAATGGGATTGTATTGATGTTCACTGTTTCTGTCATTGTGTCATTTCTCATCTAAAACCCCTTTATTCAGAAGATGACTAATGAAGCTTAGCGCAAGTTCAACCAGGAAGACCGTCTTTACTCATTCATTCACATATTCCCAGTTTACTACTCTCTCTCCTCTCAATCAGTGATCGGGGGCGTCACTCCTCAGCTAAACGTATCACTGCTCCTCTATTCCCACAAGCCTATCATAGTGCATTGCTAACCCTTTAAATCTGCTCTCTCCCCTCCTCACAGTTGTCATTTCAGGTGACTCAATGCAGCCCTCCTCCACCCCTTACCTTCCTTTCTTCCAAATCCAGGTTCAAGCTCAAACCACTACTCTTCAGACATCCATCAATCCCTTCATGCCTCCACCACCACCAGTGTCTAGACCCCAGGGGGGTTTCATCGGTTCGGTTTTCCCCCTCCCGAATGATATTCCAGCACAACGGGGTCTAATCACCAAACACCATTACATGCATCTGTGTATTCCCGGCAATAAATATATATCGTTACATCAAAAAACTGTCTCTCCTGATTGAATTAGTGAAAAGGTGAGTTACAGCACCAGGAGCAGATTTCAACTAAGTTATTTTTTAACAGAGATTACATGAATTGTTCTGCAATGTGCTGCTGTATTTCTATTCAGGGATGTTGTGTGTGTGTGTGTGTGTGTGTGTGTGTGTGTGTGATTGTGTGTTTGTAAATCTCCAAATACCTAACAAGCTAATGCCGAGTCGGGACAGCCCCTGCCTCAGTCCGTCCCCCAGGCTCTCTGGCAGCTGGCGCCTCCACTCCTCCTGCCGGGTGTAGTGCTCCTCATCCAGCGAGAGGCGGTCCATGTTCCGGGCCAGGCTCGTGGCTAGGTTGGTGATGGACGTCAGCGTGCCTGAACACAAACATAACATAACATGTTTGTTCAAAACTGTACAATGCATGTGCTGTGTCTGGGAAAAATATAGAGTGAGTTATTACTACATATTATTAGTCCACAAATACAAAGGTGTGTGCATTGAGCTTATACATTTCCTGCTCTGAAATGAACCAGGCAATATGAATATCTGCGTTACCTTTTGAGATATGTTTGACGAAAGACGTGGTCCCTCTGGACACTCCGCTGACGAAGGCCCCAGGCCCGCGGGTCAGCCCCTCGTACGGCAGCCGGAAAAAGTCCGACACGCCGTTCCCGATGCTGCGCACCAGGCTGGCAGGACTGCCCAGGATCTCCAGAGAGCCCACCACCCACCCTGAGGCACACACAACACACAGGATATTAAACCATACCTGTATTATAAAATGAATGTTCTTTCTCTTTATGTTTTATTTCGCATAGAGTTACTTTTTAGCCTAATTTCAGTTTTCTCTTTCAGTTACGCTTCTCAGTTCACTTGGACTGAAAGCCTTGGACTGGTGTTATACTAAACAATTGACAGAACTTCTATAATGTATGATCCCACAGTAACTGCACATCTGGAACACCTGCTTTTAGGAGGAACATTCTGCATACTAGCCCCTGGAGGAAACTCTCACTCTCCTCCTCTCGCCAAAAGCACTTCAGAGTGGGAGCTCCATCCAAACATTTTACAGACCTACAAAATGTTTTACATCATGATTATATTTTCAACATTGTGTTTATTCTATCAGAATTATTTTCTCGACGATACAACAATTCCCAAAAGCATAACACATGCACACTCATGCATGAAATCATACATGTGCCACGGTTAGATTTACAGCCTCCTACTATCTCACCTCATCTCTCCCATTCAACCGCAGAGCCCCCTTCAGAGGGCACGGCTCATTGATATTTATGCACTGACAATTGCATCTCAAAAATCAAATAGCCATTTCTCAAGACGCCGACCCCGCTCTGCTTTTACTCTCTGTCAATTAGCACTTGAGTGATGGGCTCTAATGGTAGGAAACCGTCTCCAGCCAGGCCTAGTGCTCGTTTCTGCTTCACATGGTGTCCCAGTTGTGGTCTGGGTAAAGCATAAACTCCTGACAGGAGCCGATGTTTACAGGGCTGAGTCATGCTCCAAAACACATCATGTGCATAAACTGGTGTGTATGCACTTCTTTTAGTATTCATGTGTCCATAAGTCTATGCATGTGCACGCGTGTTGATTTATGCCTGTGGGTGTATGTTTGACCAAAGTACCGTATATCCTAAAATGATCAGTCCCAGAATGCAATGCTTCCCCTAACTTCAAGATGACGTAGGAACAGAAGTGACGCGTTGAATTACGAGCAGAAATGAGGGCTCTAACGAGAGACAGCGGGCAGGAAGTGTCGGCCCAGAACGCCATTCTGATGTGGAAATGAGCGGCTAAATCAGAACATGTGTGGAGGCTTTGACTCGACAGCAGGACAACGCAGGAGAGCTGCAGAGCCTTTACAGGGCATTATCTATAACATACTGCCTGCACACCATGAGTCATCAGTCACAGCTTAGAATAAAAGGGTATATTATGAAATGATAGAATGTCAATCTTTTTCAAGCCTCCAGTGGTTCAGGTTTGACTTTGTGGAGCAATATAGTTTGTGCTTCCTGCCACAAAGCAATGAAGCCCTTGGGATACAATCATTTCATAGCTTAACTCCACACATTGTGAGAGTCAATTGTGGAATTTCTTAATGGAGCTCATATCCTGTTATTCTTCTGTCCATTTCTCCCTGAGTGCAAACAACACTGGATTTGAGTTTTAGCCAAGTACAGCTTTATCCCTGCAGTTTGAATATTGAATACAATTGACTTTATTTCTGACTTGACGAAACAAAGAGATTAGTTTTGTGGGGGGGCTCTGTGTCGACGCCCTCCCACCTCCCCTGGGGTCATATAAAAAAAAGAACAGACTTTTTTTTAATAGTTACATTAAACTGTAATTTGTTTAAATCATACAATATTGCAATATAAACAAACCTTTTCAGAAACACAGATTTTCAGATTAATTTCCAGTTTCTTGCAATCTACAACAGAAAGGTGAAAGGGGCTACATGTGTACTCACTGAATTCACATTGTCCTGCAACATTAAGGCCAAAATGATGATTACCATTGTTTTGATCAATTTTGAGATCACGATTATTTATCATGATTATCCTTTGGTGTAAGTTCATTTGTACTGCTCTTTCCCATTGAAATAAATAGAGCACTGCTTTCACATTCATGTAGGGCTGTCCTACTAATGTGCAAACTAGGGCTCAACCCATATTGCCTGTTTTTACCTGCAATATGTATTGAAATATATCATTATTAAGGGAATATTTACAGAAAAATTGAACCCACTTTCTAGAGTTAAATTCAATGCCGTCTGCTGCTCTTTGAGATCCAAATTAAGAGGTCAGATTGAGAAGATAGACAATCTTGTGATCTTTTGAAAAATATATATAAACACATTAAGTGTAGCATGTATGAATGATAACAACACAGTTTAAAGGCATGTTCAATGAGACGGGCTACGTTTAACAGGTGTGTGATACCTCAACATGGCATGAAAGGTGAAAACAATCCTGTATGAGACCTAATGTACATTTGTCCACATTGGAGCTTGATTCAGACGCATCATTATTTGCTGACTGAGCTTCTTTATTTTTGCTTAAGTGTAACTGCGGCCAGAAGCGCGCTGTATAAAGTGGAATACAGCAGGCTCTAAATACGCATGCTTTAACATCATCTGCACTTAGGACATTTACGAGCCAGCATAATGGCTTGTGCATTCATGCCATTAAAAGTGAAGGAATATTTTGATAATGATCCTCCTTGGTTTTTAGCAGATATGATAACAAGAATAAATCAGATGATATACTGTACATCGGTGCTGTGTCAATATATAAAGCACAAGCTGGCTTGTTGGACCCTTTGTTGACTGATGTGGCAGCAGGTGAATTTGAGGCAGTTGAGAGAGGAAGACCACCTACCAGCTCTGAAGAGGGCCCCGGCAGCGTAGTGCATGGCCAGAGCGTGCACCAGCTGCCTGGCTGTGGTGCACAGCGGGCCTCTCTCAAACAGGGAGAAGGAGAGAGGAGTGTGGTCTGAAGCGATGTACAACTTGAGGGAGGCATGGATGCTGACCAGCAGGTTGACCGGCTGGATGCTCAGCCTCTGCAGCCGCACAGGGTGCACCAGCGCCTGCACCGCCTGCAGCACCTGGGACAGATGCAACACATTTAGTAAGTAAGGCCCAGGAATACTAATGCACAATATCTTGACTCTACCTCTAACACTTTCTAGCATGCACCTTCATTATGTGACAGATTATCGTTTAATCCTGTCCTAAAAAATATTATCGAATATGATATGTATGTGAATGTATGATTACAACATTGTGACAAGAACAACACAAATCACTTGGTTTATTAGTTAAATACTGCTCAAATTGAGCAGAGCTCCTGGGCATGCTTATAACCAAAGTGAGGTTGGATGCTGCTTCCTGCATGTCTGGCCCCAGCTGAATGCACCGCTGAAGTTATAATCTATTGAGAATGCAGTGACTAAACCAGAACACATTCAGCCTGATCAGTGCCTCAATAAAAACATGACATCATGAATAGTGGACCTGTTCAGGGAGGATGGGGGCTGAGCCACACTTTGTCCCCCTCTGTGGCTCTGCTGGGGCCGAGGCCATGGCACTGTCAGGGATGTAGGTGTGGAACAGGGTCTTAACGTAGTAAACAAAGGTGTCTTCCAGGTAGACTCTGGCAGGTTGGAGCTGGAAGGTGATCTGAGGAGAAAACAGTACAAATATTTAAGAAAAAGGTTATAAAATCTGTTGATTCATAAAAATGTGTATGGAATAAGAGAAGGGAACTAGAAAATGCATTTCCTGCTGAAAATGCGTGTGAATGCTGTAAACTGTGTACATTTGTTGCTGAATTTAGCTGAAAAAACTGAATATTGTATTAGTTGAATGGTCTCTGTAGCTGCTTTTAGCTACCAAAACCAAGTAAGGGTCTTGCTGAACTTAGCGGAGAAATGCAGAAAAGTGAAATGATTTGAATCAAAATTGTTACAGCTCAAATGCATTGCAATGACTTAATAGCTGAATAATGTAATAGTTGAATGGTTTATAGCTGAAATTAGGCTGAAGGAGTTAGATATTAAATGTAAGTAGTAGTGAATGAATGTGTATTAAGAAGAGAAAAGAAAGTAAAAACGCTTTGAAAAGCATCAGATTATTTTAACTGCAAACTTTAGAACTAAAACCAAACGTCACCAATAATGTATAAAATATGTGGAACGTGTTGAAGTCAGTATGAAGTCTCCATCAGACAGAAAAGAATAGGCTGAGACAGTCTTTAAACTCCAGTCTGTGTGTTTGTGTTTGAGGTGATGACGTTATCAAACACCTGTGTACGTGAGCCCAGAGATCAAAGGTTACCATGGTGACGACATTATCAAACACCTGTGTACGGGAGCCCAGAGATCAAAGGTTACCATGGTGACGACGTTATCAAACACCTGTGTAGATCAAAGTTGCTGTAAACAGCATTCGCACTAATAAGCAGACTGCTTGCTCTCTCTTTAAGAGGGGCCGGTGTCAAAGACAAATTTCATATTTTTTGACATCAGCACTTCAAAAGAGACCTGCTCTCCATCAAACTACCTTGTTAAATAAATACAGGTCATAAAATAAAAAAATCTGTTCATTTCTAAGTCTAATTTATGTACTCCCCTGTTTCAATGACTGTAGAAAGGTTCATAGCTTAAACAACACACTTTGAAAGTATATGTTTGTCCTCATAAAGAGGCTGAAATGCACCACTACCCCATGTTCTGAAAATATGAATGTGTTCTTCAGACACGTTTTAATTTCTCTATATACTGGAAACACAAGCGTACTTTAATTGTGATATAACAGGTATGTAACACTGTCATGCCTTTCTTTTGTCTAGAAATCTAATGTGATGGGAGCTAATATGCAGATTTAAGTCATAATTAGAACTATGGGGTCGTGATGCACTTATAAATGAGAATAAAACAAAAAAAATAGTTTCACAGATTTGTATAAATAACCTTAAAAATATGATCCTGGGAAACCCTTATCCACCTGTTCTTAAATCATAAACACAGTAAAGAATCCAATAGCCCAGACTTTAAAAAAAAAAATCAGAATAATCTTTTCTCTCTTTCCCCCGAGGGCTTCTGCAGCTCCCTTTACTGTGACACAGAAACAAAGAAAGATCATGCCCTCACCTCCTCTGCATTGCACCTGTCCCCTGCCAGCCTCATCCTCAGCTGCAGGAAGCAGGAGCGCTTGAACTCCTCCAGGGCTTCAGGAGACTCAGTGGGGTTGGCCTCGCTGCTCCAGGGACCCCCCCCAGGCTCAGCACCGCTTCTCTGATCCTGGCACAGCAGCACAGGGAAGTGGAAACTGGCTCTGTTATACAGCTGGTTGTCTATCTGCAGGTTGGAGCAATAGACCTCGACCAGCGAGATGTGTGCTGATCCCAGGTCAGAGGCTCCCTGCTCCTGGGGCAGGGAGGTGGGGGCTGGAGCCAGGCTGAGGAGCAGCTTGGTCAACGTGAGTCTGAGCAGCTCCACAGATCCAGATGGATTGGTGATGTCATCACTTAACACCACACTGGCTTCACTGAGGAGCACTCTGCAGGATGCTTTAGGTGAGCTGAAACAAGTCATTCATGTTAATTGAATACATTTACACATGCTGGCCATTGATGCATGTTTAGCAATGATTTTTAGACAGTCATATGTTTAATTATACTTTATTACTGTCCAAGAAAGAAAACATCTCCATCTATGACATAATTCAAGTCCTAAGTAGGTGTTTTATTATTTAGACATAGAAATGAGACCAAACTTATTAGTGCGAATGCATTCCACTATAGTTCTTCAAATCTTTATTCCCCTTATTTCAGCCAATACTTTGGCTCTCCATAACTTCAGCTTATTTTCAGCTACAGAAACCATTCAAATATCAAACTATTCAGCCTGTTCAGGAATCGATGGGAAACCTTCAACTTTTTTAAAATATTTTATATTCAGCTTTTTAAACTCTTTTTTTAACATGGAAGTCAATGGGAGACGCCTTCCAATCCTCTTTTCCTACACCTTGCGCCAAATGCTACTCCTTCCACATACTTTCAGCTAGACACTTCATTCCAACTTTAAAATGATCACAACACCTTCAGCTAGTTTGGAGCTTGGTAGAGAGGCCTTTTTCAGATTGTAACATTAGTGTGGATGGAGCAGCTCGTTAAGTCTAGAGTGCTTTGATCTCAAAACAGAGTGCAGCAGAGCTTCAAATCCTCCCCAAAAAATGTTTTAAACTTGCCATAATTCCCAAACCCTACACTCCTCAGACATATTTTTTCATGAAAAACGTAGGAAAACCTCTCCTAGGTTGCAAAATAAAAAAAAATTAAGAAAAAATATTAAACAAAATGCCTCTTGAGGGCATGAAGAGACAAAAAGTCCACCTAGCTCCCAATTGATTCCCATGTTAAATCTTTCCGGGACTTTCTTCAGAACAGAGAGAAGTCAACTTTAGACAAACTGCTCCCATCTCCACATTTGACACACAAAACCAAAAACAACATATATCAGTTCATTGGGGTTCCCTGATGCTCACGGTCTGGTCATTTTTTGATAGGAGCCATAGTTTTTGAACAGGTGGCAAAATTGTCAGATATACTCCTCAATGCATTCTTAATGGGACTCAGTGCTGCAGTTGGTAAATCGTCATAAGTCGTCACCATGGTAACCTTTCATCTCTGGGTTTACACACACAGGTGTTTGTAAACATTCATTCACTACTACTTACATTTCATATCTTTATTTAACTCCTTCAGCCTAATTTCAGCTGCAGGAACCATTCAAATATCAAACTATTCAGCCTTTTCAGCACATGATGGGAAACTTTCAACCTTTTCAAAATATGTTATACTTTTCAAAATATTCAGCTTTTTAAAGTCTTTTTTTAACATGGAAGTCATTGCAATGCATTTGAGCTGCAACAATTTGATTCAAATCATTTCACTTTTCTGCATTTCTCCGCTAAGTTCAGCAAAACACTTACTTGGTTTTTGTAGCAGCTTTTTCTGCATTTTCAGCTAAATTCAGCCACAAATGTTCACAGTTTACAGCATTCGCACGCATTTTCTGCAGGAAATGCATTTTCTAGTTCATCTTGTTCTGACGATGTTTAATGAGTTTCAAACCACCACAACCAAGAACATTGTCTGACATAGTTTGTTTACATTTACATTTTATAATGTGATTATATTAATTTCCTGTTTTGCCAAAAGAAAAAGTTGCTATGTGTTGATGTAATGGAATAAAGCTGTACTAATTTCACTCATGACAAGCATGAAGTTTTATTGCCCTCCTGTGGTCCAAATGATGCCTGTTTCTTCATGTTTTCAGTCTAGAAACAAATGTTGCATGCAAACATGGCTGTTAACAATAATCATGAAGCAGTTTGACGAAAAAACAATAAAGGCACACAGGAAGATAGCTTGAAGTTAGGTAGAACGACATGCATGAATAGTTTCTCATGGTTCAAATTGTAGGCTGCATACAACAACAAGAATAAAAGCACTGCCGGAGCACACAAACCTGCTGTGCTGGTGGATCACAGCGTCCAGGCCGCCCTCTGGTGCCAGACACAGAACCAGGGTGCCTTTCTCATACAGCACATCAATGTAGAGACAGCCGAAGCCTGGCAGGAACACCACCTGTGCAACAACACAGGTCTGCAGTCAGATAGATCAATATGCCTATCATTAATATCCTCTATTGATGGACTATTGCTAATTTTTACTCTGTTCAATCTCGAAGGAACCTTTACCCTTTCACAGATTCATGGCGCTTCGAGATTCGAGAGTGCTCTTGATATGTGTTTCAGAGCATACATGTGGCTGAGTTTAACCTCCACCACTGCAAGTTCACAGTGAGAAAAGGAAGCAGATCCCTGCTGAACTTGGCTGAGCAGTCATAACAAGTCCGACCTTTGACCCCTCCCCCCTCCCTCAGAGGTCAGACTGAGACCTCCCAGTAACAAGAGATACACAGCCTCCACCTCAACCCTAGCCTGCAGCTTGCTAGACACAACACCTAACATTACACACACTTCTCCTTTATATCTGACTAACCCCACACAGGGACTGAACCAATATGTGCTGGCTGTTTACCTTACCACAGTGGACACACACACTTCATCAGACACAAATCTGTGTGATCAAGCTTAATACATTTAAATAAAAAATTAATGTACATCAGTAGTGAATAATCATTTAAATGATCATAATAGGAGTGAGTTTCAGGATCCTAAATTGCAGTTTTAACCAGTAGAGTGGCCTTACTTGTACTCCCAGTGGGCTTTGATTTTGATTAGATTTGAAGTTTTAAGGGAAGCTGGATCATTTGGATTTGACAGATTGCTAATCTTTTTGAAAAGATTGTCCACAGTAGAGGTAATCATTTGAATCGTGTACTCTCTATATGGAATGGTCGCAACACTACTTATGCCAATCAGTCTGTGCAGAATCCAGCAAGTATCCTGAACACCAGTGTACATCAGTAGCAAATAAGAGTTTACATTTTCACGATAGGAGTTATTGAAGCAAATATTTGTGTTTAAACAAGTGTGACGATCATTTTTAGTAATGTATTTTTAGTGTTGAGGTATGACATACCCTTACATACGAGACAAAATCCTGTATAATTGTACATCTCACCCAACCCACAAGCCCTTACCTGAGTCCCGGGACAGTTGATGTCTATGGGGTCAGTCCAGTCAGTGGAGCTGTGGTCTGACGTGGTTTTTAGCAGCAGTGTGGGCAGCATCTCTTTCTGTCTGCACTCAGGGAAACTGGAGAAATGGTGGTAGAGCTCATGGTGCAGGGAGCAGTTAGCAGGCAGAGGACGGCAGTACACCTCAGTCCTTGCAGTTTCTATTTGAAAACAAGAAGAACCGGTACAAAATATTGTAGTAAAATGGTATACAAGTAGTATGAGATGAGAGTAGAATTGTGTCCCTTCCTACCTTTGACTGTTTCCTTCAGCATGAGTGGGATAGGACACTTGTTGTGGATCACCATCCGTGGACAGGGGTCCTCATTCAGGATGATGTATGTCACCCCAAGGTGTTCTTGATATGTCAGTACTATGCTTCTGCAAAAAATGAATAAAAACAAGTCCATGAATAAAGTGTCCACGGACAGCTCCTATCCCAGCCCCTTCCACCACACAAGAGCTCACACACCCACCACCATGTTACATGTCACATCCCTGCTATGTCCATTTGCAAATCTCTGAGGTGCATCCATGGGCAGACCCCGAACTGAGGCCAGATGCTGACACACTTTGGCTCTGTGTGTGTGTCCATATTTGTGTTTGGCTTCACGATTTACATTTACACACATGAAATAAGAGCCAATATGGCCTCTCGGACCAGAACACAAGTGTGAAGGCAAATATGATATGCTCATTGGCCTTTGTATTGTGTGTAAAATTGTTTCTGACTTGGACTTAAATTATAACAAATGGCCACAAGAAATGGGGGCAGACAGAAAGTAGGTGAGACTAAGACAAGAAAGACATGATATATGATAATGTTGAGTTTTTTTTCATTCTGCTTCATCTGAAGAATTGAACGAGCTGTGACCAGCTGAGCCTCCCGGCTGTGCCAGCATAGAACGTACGCTCTGATTAACCCACCTACTGCTCAGGCCCCCCACAGACTCTGCTTCCCCAGGAACAGACACACTCTGCCTGGGGAAGTCTGATCGGATCGGAGCGGGCAGGCTCCATCCTGCTGATCCAACTCCACCATCAGGCTTGGGAAGTAGGCGGAGAAGCATGTATCTCAGCGGCAGAGGGAACTCCAGCGCTCCCTGGACGCTGGTCTGCAGGAGGTCCCAGCACAGCACAGAGCAGGGTCTGGACTGCTCTTCAGAGGGGGCCAGGCTGAACTGGGCTGTCTCTGGGATCTCGCAGGCCTGAGGACAGGACATGATGACAATTATGAAAAGGAAAGAAGAGGGGAGAGGAGATAAAGGGAAGGAAAGGTTGAACAAATAGTTGTAGAGGGGTGAGGATTTTAGGAGAGGAGAAGAGTGAAATGAAAAAGAAGTTGTAAGGACCGAAGTGGAGTGGAGAGAAAAGAAAAGGGAGAGGTAAAATAAGCATATGATGAAGGAAAATCATAAAAGCAAAACATTTGGATGTGAAGAGTTTCAACAGAAGAGAAGAAAAAGTGATTACTCCAAGGATACATGGTAAAACCACATTGTTATTGTACCCTCCTCTCTCCCACTGAGATCACTGCTAAATTGATAGCAGAGAAGCCCCGCTGTGCTGCAGAGTCCAGGACTGCAGGGATTAGGCTCGAAGCATGATGAATAGAGCGACTAGAAAGGCATTCCTCGCCTTGTTTGTGGTCTGTGTTATTGTTAAGCCCACCGCTCCCTATTTAGTTTTTTTAAGCTCTTTTTCTAAAAAAGGTTTTTCAGTCAATTAGTGGCAACTGGCAAGCTCTGCCATCCTTCTTTAAGAGCATCTGAAGGCTCGTTAAATGACATCACTACATTGTTGCTCTCTTTGGGGACAAGCAGCATGAAAGCGAGAGGGGAAACCTGCATCCAATTCTGGGTGTTTGTCTAATGTCCCAATGAAGTGCCATTGCCACATGGTGAAAAATGGTGGAGGCGGGAGAGGGGGAGCAGCATGATCTGATGGAAAACGGCTTGCTTACGTCTGAGCAATGAGTACGTGTGGTAGTGCTGGGTGGATGTGTGTGAGTAATGTGCATTGGGAATATACCGTATGTGTGAAGCTTGAGGAAGTCGAGGAGAACAGGACAGACATGATGCAGGGCCAACACACACATGTACATGAAGACACACACCGAGGCCGTATGGTTATGAGGAAGCAGTGAGGAATGAATGCTTTGGGCCCAGAATTGACACTTTTTCACTGTGTTGTAAAGAGATGGAGCAAAGACTAAGCTGGTTGGGAATTTGAGACTGGGTAGATGTTGTGATGTATGACATATTTAGCCTTGTTTAACAGGAAAATGTTCTTATACTTTATGCCAGTACAAGCAGTTGTTTTAACTTTTTTAATGTATAGTGTGAAAAAACTCATATAGGAATAGTCCCTCTCAATCATGACTACTGACCCATGCATTAGAGATGTGTTGTGATAGATTTCCCCCTCCTGTTTAATGAATTCAGGACAATTCTGGGGCTCAACAAAGCAGGGGGGGGGCAGCATATAAGCAGGGGGTGCAGCCCGTTCTCATCCCCGCCCCTTGGTGTCTCTCTTCCCATGGCTGTGCTGATACAGAAGCAAGGCACCCCTTTAGCAGATGTAAGCAAAGCATTGCTATCTGAGGATGGGAACTGATTGGTACATTTGTTTTTATTTACTTCTGTTTCAGTTCAGCGGGCACAGACCAAAAAGAAGAGACGACAAAACCTTCCAGCAGTGTTTCTACGGAGTGGTGGTTGTGTTTATTTGAGTTTTACAATGTAACTGATACATTTAACATAATATACATTTAAACCAGAATGGGTATTGCACAGACTACTGGTGCATTTCATCGTGAACAAAAAAGTACCCAGAGATGAAATGACTGACAATATTTCATTAAGTGAAAGACTTCCTTTGTGTGGTGGTAGTTTGAAAAGTGTGATTCAGACAAACCCTTATTCAGTGTAAAGTCAAAGGACACAGTTTGTTAATGCACATTACCTGGCCGTCAGTTCCCAGGGCATGGTCTGTCAGCAGAGGCCTGCACTGAATGGTGTGAGGAGTGTTGTTGACCAGGATGGTTCTGTCTTCTAACTGTAGAATCTGAATACCATGCCTCACCACAGACGACACACAAAACTGACACAGCTGCAGAGGAGACAACAGACACCAAGTCGCCAGTTATAAAGTAGAACAATCATTCAAATACTTTTTTATAGTGCATTGTCCTACAGAACATTTTCACTGTGCTCACGATAACTGTTAAAGGAAATTTGTACCCACAAAATGAACATTTGCATATAAATGACTTGGATTATAATTATACTGCAGGAGTTGAAATGTGAACATAGAGTAACTTTCCTGTTGATAAACGCAGCACCTTTTACTTATTATTCGTTCACAGTAAAGGCAAACTTAAGCCTTGAGAGTTTTCTTCAAGAATGTAAGGTCACACAGGTTGAGTAACTCTAATATACAATGATCACTTTGAGGGGGATGTATTCCTATAATGTATAATTCAATGACTTTCCAAAATGAAATTTCATGCGCATTGATCACTGTAACTTATAAAGGCTTTGTTTCCTCACCTTCTGTCTGCCAGGGAAGGCTCCCAGGGTGATGTCGGCCTCTACATACCCCTCCTCATCCAGAGTGACCACCTCTGAGCCTGATCCCTCCTTCCACCGAGGAGAAGTCAGGTCATGCACCAGTTTGAGAGCCGTGGACTTGTGGACAGTGTTAGTATGGGCCCAGTAGATACCAATCTGGAAGGCTTCCTGGGTGGAGGGGGACAAGAGGGCAAGAAAGGGGGGAGAAGGACATCAGATAAGGAATTACAAGGAAAGAGAAAGGTCAAAGTCATGTCAAACTAAATGTAGTATTAAAATGGTCTGTAATTGATAATGAAATGGACTGTATCCGATTGTATCAACTGTGGCTTCAAAACCAACAACTCAAGTTTGTGTCCATGTTTTCATGCTCCCTGCATAACTTTACAAAAAGTCCTGGATTGAGGAGTATATTACTTCCATTACTGATGTTGGCTGATGTGTGCTGATTGCTGTTTATCTGGCTCTGCAGCTATCAGCCTCATCAAACATGCCCATCAAACAGCAACCTTCTCAGCGGACACCAAAACTACTTTTCACTGCTCCTGCTTTGATAAACAGCAGGAGCAGGTTGAAATAATGTTTTATTTGTTCCTATGACAAAAGCTTTTACACATTTTTGAGCTGAACCATATCAGCAATTGCTCTTTGATACGCTGCCTTGCTGCTGAGCACTTTGTTAGTTGAAGAATCTGTGTATGTGTTTTATGTTCCACAGTGGGAAAAACATCTGCAGACCTCTTCTTCTGATGTCAGAAGCCAGAGAGAAGACATTTCTACAGTAAAGAGTGACAGAGCTTGGCTGTAGATAGAGACATGCAGGGAATATTGTTGTATTTCAGCTTTGAGAACAGTTGTATTAGTCCAGATGAGTACAGAGCAGGTTTCATAATGAAGGTTGTCTTGCCTAAAGGCAAAATAAATACAGTATCTATCTATACCTATCAGAGCAATAGGAAGATCACTGCATAGCATACAGTGGCTCAAATTTGGAAAGAATACAGTCAGAATTTGCTTTACTTAGCAGTATTTTTCCAACACTTAAATTCTGACCTGATTGGAAACATTCATGTAATATGGCTTGTTTCACGTAGCATAGCAAATGGTATGAAAGTATTATATAAAGATGTAAGTGGTGCACAGTAAGAACATTAAGAACATGTGATGTTCAGTTTACTAACTCCTCAGCTCAGGAAACAGTCTTCTGTTTCTGATGAGCCTCTGCCATCAGTGTATGAATGTTCACACCTTGGGTACCGGTGTCAGAAGGTTTGATTTGTGCTAGATAAATGCAAGTCCGTTCAACTGTCTGTGTCGGTGCAGGGTGATTTAGTCTGAGAAAGTAACCCTGATGTCTTCATTATAACATCATTTTTCAGTTTAACGGCTTGAATGCTAGGTAACAACTGAAGGCATACAGTTTAGAGCAGGGGTTCCCAACCCCCGGTCCGCGGACCGGTACCGGGCCGCGGAGGTGTTACTGCCGGGCCGCGAAATAGCTGTGAGTTTATCGTAATATTTGCAGAATTATAAATATATACAAATATTTTATCATAATATTTTTTTCAAAAAGTGTTTAATTTTTGCACCTATGCCACCAGTCATATTATTTCATCCAGTAGCTAGTTAATCTTTCACCAGAAAACCGTTGAAAATGGCTTTTATGATGTTCCGAGGGATTCGGCGGCTCAGCCTAAGGTCTCAGCCTCTTGTTCGCACGAGAATGTTACCGGTGCGCCAAGTAGGAAGAGGAGCGCACAGGAGACAACCGTTTGATTGCAGACTGTTATGTTTATGTGGGGAAATGGTGGTGCATACATTATTTGAGATATATTTCAAACTCGGACTTCATTTTAAGGACATGTCGGCCAGGGGTGTAGAGCTATTTGTTTAAGCACCGGATTGGCAAAACAGGAGAGTAAACCAGTCTGCCTTGATCTATGAATGAATGTCCGGGACTCTCACGGTATCTGCTGCCCGCAGCTGTTTTATAGAAGGAAACCCTCCTTCACTTCATGAAATGGCTGCAGCACCAGGAGGCAGCGGGACGTATACTCCGCCTCTGAGAAGTGCAGCACCAGCGGGTAAAGAGCTGTGCCTTTTTACGCACCGCATTCGCTGTGTTTAACTTCATCAGAACAGCTTAAGAGTGACTGCAGGCTGCTACGTGTTAACCACACACACATCTACACACATCGAACTGCCCGATTACTTCCCCTTTTATTAGTTTTATGAAGGAGATGTCCAGTCAGTCACCAAGGCGCATGATGTGTGTGTGTGTGTGTATGTGCTCTGCTCAGCTCAGCTCTGTGTGTTCGGTGTGTTTGTGTCTGTCCGACACCGGCATATATGCGGCTGTTCCCAAAATAAATTAGTTTAATCTTAATCTCGATGTCGTGCTAAATGCTGTCGGAGTGCACCGGAACGAACAACACTATCATAATATCTTCTGAAAACAAATGCCAGTGTCTGTCACACACACACACACACACACACACACACACACACACACACACACACACACACACACACACACACACACACACACACACACACACACACACACACACACACACACACACACACACACACACACACACACACACACACACACACACACACACACACACACACACACACACACACACACCTACACCTCCTTCATAATGCGCCTTCTCCTCGTTTTCCCAGCATTCACTGATTATCCGTAAATCATACAAACAAAACCAAAACGTTGATTTATCTGTTTTCCCGTTTTGGTTTACAAATTGAATAACGTCGGTTTTTTGGTTTTCCGAAAAACCAAAAAACAACACCGGTTCTTTTTTAAACTTTGTTAATATGTTTTGGATGCATATTGTTCTAGTATTTGTTCAGGCTGTTACATACAATAAGCCTCTGTTGCTACCTGCTGGTGAGTAAATATTGAAATCAGTTCAAATTGACAACCGGTCCGCGTTTTTTTTTTTTAATGTATCTACCGGTCCTTGGCACAATAAAGGTTGGGAACCCCTGGTTTAGAAGACATAAGCGTTTATCTGGCGAGGGAAGTGTAAGGAAAAGCGCTGAAAACGCCATTATTGGGAATGTATAATCCAGTGTTTTTAGAGCTTGTGACTGTATGTCAGAATATCTTTACTCTGCAGCATTGATTTGGAGGATTTTTCTAGCAGGATACATGTTCTGTAGTAGGCACAATACCTTAAAGTTGGGGGGCACAATGATCTTTCCGGCTGGTATCTGCAGGACGATTGTCTCTCCCTCAAACAGCCACACGTCCCATTTGGAGTGGTTGACCAGCAGGGCCCAGGGCAACAGCTCTACCAGCAGAGTGTTGAGACCCGACTTCCAGCAGGATAACTTCACCTGCATGGGACTGTCCCACTGGGCCAGGGGCTCCAGCACCGACCTGTGGGGAGGGAACAGACTGTAGAAATCAATCAAATAAGTAAACTCTAATAGTGACCTATTGGCAGATATGAAGTATATGAGTATATAAACACAGACAGAGTCAGTGGAAGCTTTGGTCTTTGCAGTGATGATGCTGATGATGATGATTATGCATGCATGCATCTTAAACAGCCCTTCAAAGAGTCAAACATGAATCTATTCTGTCAAAAACAATGACATTCGAAGCTCATTTCTACTGCTCTGAGTTTGTTTCCCATACTGCAGTGAGGCTATGTGTGCATGGACTGTAAACACTTCACTGAGATACATAGCTATAATGACATACATATAGACAGGGAGACAGACACGCAGCTACCTGTAATGCAGTATTTACAAACAACAATTATTCTCAGCTTGGTAATAAAAATCATTTATGCTCAATTCCTTAGATTAAGGACATCATTTCATCTGTCTACTCATGTAAATCAGCTATGGACATGTGTTACACAGTGCAGCACACAGCTTTAAACCGACATTGAAATGTGTTGCATATAAACAAACAATTATTTTACTGTTATACAATGCAGAACACAATGACAATCAGTCAGGCTAAACAAATACATAGGAAGAAAAAGGTCTGCACACAAGTTATGCAATACAAACAGATACAGAGAACAGTTGACAAGACATCTGGGAACACACACAGGCATGTGGAGACACAGACAAACAGACTGAAACACGGAACCATTTTTCCACCAACACAACAGTCATTTCACGGTAATCATGGTCTCATGAACCCTAAACAGCGTAGTGTCAGAAGAGAGCCAAACAAACAGTTCTCTCAGACTAACTCGAAGTTCAAAGCCATCAAAGGTTTAACTTCTTCCTCTCCCTCCAAGCCGCCTGGTCTCTGCTCAGCCCACCGACCTGCCACCTCAAACGTACCATACCCAAAGCCTGCCTGCTGTTGAATGGGACCCTAAACACTGACAATGGCTTTTTCTTACCATTTACCCATGTTTGAGTGTTTTATGGGACAATCACCTCGAGCCGGAGGGCAGACAAGTTTAAGGCTCATAAATCACATTACAGAGCTCACAAAAGGGTAGTTGAAAGGAATGTGTCTGTCCACACCTGCCAACTCTGAAGTTGAGGTCTTGAGAAGTGTGGATTTTGAAAGCTACAAACACACGCATACCAGGGTTTCCGTTAGCCGGTAATTACCGGTTTTTAGCTGGTAACATTTATTAAAAAACGGTAAATTCAAAACCTGCCGGCCAAAATGTCCGGTAATAATTAGGGATGCTCCGATCAATCGGCCGCCGGTCATTATCGGCCGATATTCACTCTTAATAGTTTGATCGGTGCTCTCTATAAAGGCCGATCAGGAGAGCTGGATCTGATCGATATGGACATAAACGCGAGTGAAGTATAACCGGACGAGAGAGAGAGATCAGAGATCAGACAGAGACACGCAGCTCTGCATGATCACCTGCAGCTCCGCCCGCTGTTTAGCGAGCTGCATGAGAAACTGACCGGCTGTCAGGAGAGAGAGAGGGGGGGGAGAGAGAGGAAAAGAGAGGATCCGTTTCTCCCGTGTTATTATCCAAAGTTAATGTAAACTTTTGAATAATGTACTTTATCTACTATAAGTAGTTTGTTTGAATGTAATAATTATGTTGTTTGTGGAATCATTTATTGAAAAATGAATCTGAACTTTTCGATCTGTTACGATTATAAACTGAAGCAATATAAAAATGACTCTCATTAACTGAGTTTTAAACATCAGCATATCCTTACATAGTCCGGTAATTACCTGCTAACGGAAACTCTGCTACACAATTCTTCTTCTTCTTCTTCTTCTTATTGAAACATGACCGGTAAGTTTCGAATTTGTCCGGTAAAATAAATTATTTCCGGACATTTGACCGGCAAGAAAAAATCCTAGCGGAAACCCTGACGCAGACACTGCCTGCAGCAAGGGGTTACCCTAACCCCAACCACTACACGATGTCTGTTTAATCAGAGCCGAGGTGCCCCATTAAGACACAATATTTACACACTCGCTGGTTGGTTCGGTTTCACCGAGCATTGTGTACAATGCTTTTGTGTTTTTCCCCTTCGATTCCGAAACACTCGGAGTTTAGGATTGCCGAAGACACTACACTACCCAGAATCCTCAGCTGTCATTTGGGACGACGCCAGTCAGCTTTGCTCGACAAACCCTGTGATTAGTCCTCAAGCTCTGTGATTGGTTGACCTCCAACTGCATTCCATATGAAAAAATTAGGCTTTATTTAAACATTAAAGAATACTTTAGGATAAGATAGATGTCTTGTAATGCACTGTTGAGGAACCTGTGACCCAAGTTTGTCATCATTGCATAACTACACCGTAGTTGTGTATATGATACAGTATGTCAATAAACCTTTGAAAATCTTGAAATCTTGAAAGGGATGTGCGAAATAGCCATTATATACAGTTATTGATGAACGATTAGAGAATAACGAGTAATGAATATACTTTATAGGGATCTGCAGATAAATGTTTAGTCTTCTCAAGCACCAACTATCAAATATCTCGCCTGATTGTTGGCACTTGACAATCACCTTTCACTGAATTTTACTCAGGTGTAACTAAAGTCTGATTTAAGGGTTGTTTATATTTCACATCATTAATCAGAATCTGCAAAGTAACTAAAATAAATGTAGTGGAGTGAAAATACCAGGTTAACCTCTGAATGATAGTGGAGTAGAATTACAAAGTAACAATAAATTGCATGTTGTACATGCTGCTGTAACAAAAACATTTCCCAACTTGGGATCAATAAAGTATATCTTATCTTATCTTAAGATGATCGATGGCTACAGCAATATTTGGAAAATATCCTGTTTTGGATAGTGTGCCGTCGCTGGGCTTCATTCCCTTTCAAAGTGCTGTTTGACGCTCGGCGTAACCTTGGCGTACTGCCACTCCAACATCCAATCACAGAGCTTGAGGACTAATCACGGGGTTTGTCAAGCAAATCGGATGTGTAGTCCCAAACGATAGCTGAGGATTCTGGGTAGTGTAGTGTCTTCTGCCATCCTAAACTCCGAAAAAATATTTGTTTCTCCGAATCGAAGGGGAAAAACACAAAACCATTGTACACAATTTAAACCAATCAATGTTGTGTAATTGACAAGGATAATCTGGTGTTTTTGAGTTGATGAGTAGTGCAGATATCACTGTAAAATCAATCGACAGTAAGGAGAATACTTACTTCCGGGTGTAAAATCCTCCGTTATCCAATGGGAATGGACGCTCACATTGCCTTTAACTGACATGGACCGATGCGGTGCTTCCCTGAGCGTCAAATACCGCCGCCGATGGGAATACATTGTAATCAGTTGAAAGCTCTTTGCGTCCGTTTATGAAGCTGAAGGAGCCTCGGTGCGTCACAACTGCACGCCAAAGGACCCTGACCAAGCGTCGCTCCTGGACGATCAGGGAGTGAGAGTGTGTTGCTTTTCTTGTACCTTTTTGGCTCTTCAACATAAAGTGGCAGATTTCTGTTTCAGACAAACTGCCACAGCCCCTCACAGGATGTGAAATGTGCATTGGCCTTGGACTTTTAGTCTCACAGGAAGAGAGAGGTCTGAGTGCCAGAGAAACCTGACACTGCATCTCCAGATAGCCGCCATTCACTGAGACTCAGTGTGTGTGACATTCAATGTGGGTGATGTGTGCGGCGATGTGCGTTTGTAACACAGTGTTATGAGTGTGGGTTGGGCAACAATCTGTGTGCGTCTTTGGGTATGGATAGAAGCAGAGAAACCCGGGCGACCACAGACAGATCCACTCTCTGTAGCTCAAGCCTGTGGGGGGGCATATGGCTTTGTGTCTTTCCGCTGCTTCAAGATGTGATTGCTTTGTGACAAAAGACGATTCCCAGAGTGGCATTTGTGGAAAGATTCACATGTGTGTGCAGCTCGATTGTATATGCAGCCTCATGCGTGGGCCACATAAACACACATTTGCTCACATTTATTCAGTATACACACTGTATGCTCTGCAAAGCTGTGCCAAGTTTGAACTGAATGCAAGGCCCTGTGACGAGTGTGAGAAAGTGGGACTGTGACAGAGTGACAGCCTAAATCTCCGCTCTCTGATGTATGGCTCTGCATTGTCTTTGCAGTTACAGTTTTATTACATGAACAAAGATTCGGTAATAAAGAGAAGCCTCCCTCATTAAAGGGCTTGCTTGCACAACTTTGAGCTTCGGGGATTGGATGCCATATGAAGACTACTATTAGGAAAATACTGGTTGGTCTAAATACAATTTGTTATGAAATGTAACATTAAGATTTAAAGCTTGTCACATAAGTTCTATAATAAAGAGGGAAAATAATAACACATGTTGACTGCAAAGGATCATAAGGTGTCCTGGTGTGTTGGAGGAAAGAGGCTTGTGCACTTTGTGTGTGAACTTGCATGATGTGGCATTATTTCTCTTTCCTGCCTTGCTTCAGCTTGTTTAGCCACCCCGCTGCTTGTAGATGGGCTCCTCAAGATTTGTTTAAAAAAAGATGATCAACACTAAACATGTAAGTAAAAGTACAAGACGGCTATTATTAAAATGCAGGGCACTGGACATGCACACAATACTGTACCTGTCAGTATCCTTGGCTACGTAGGGCCATGGGGGCCCAGTGGAGGTCTTTGGACCGTAGAAGTCAGCCAGGATGTGCTCCAGGTTGTCCTCATTTCCATTCTTGTGCACTATCTGTTTGATGAGGCTGGTGGAGATTGGTACAGCACAGTGGGAAGCATCCTCATCATGCCTGAAAGACGGAGCACAAATCATTATAGATGTCTCTAACAAGAGAAACATGTGCCATGTATTCCATTTTCTGTAACACATTTCCATTGAAATAGATAGCTCACAGAACATGTATATCTCAGAGATTTTCAAACATTTTGCCATCTTTCCACAACAATCTGCAAGTCCTGCTGCCAAGCAGGCCCTGCACCAGCTGAGTTCATTTATGCTGATTACCCCCCCCCCCCCTCCCCCTCGTGGTGATAGTTGATGGCATGAAATTAAAAACGACATACTCGGGTCATAAAAACATATGGTTGTGAATCACTGCTGTATATAAGCAAATCTGCCTTGGAAGCGTCTTCACTTATTTTACCCCCAGAACCAATTGAAAGATATTTTTCATTTCACTATAGAACAAGACATCTCTTGACAGCAGCTGACTTTTCTCATTGTTCTGTTCAGAACGATTCAAGTGACCTCAAGCTAAACTCTGCTTTTACCCTAAAACCACCATCTGCCTTTTGTTCTGCTTTTTTCGTCCTGACATGCAGTCTTGCCTTATAAACACAAATTCGTAAAGATCATAGAAAAAGCTTAACGGCAATACATAATCCTATTGGATACCTCAGCCCCAGACACTGGTCAATTACGGCTTTGCCACAAGAAAAAAAAGGAACTAAATCCAAACTATAATAGCTTCTTCTCTTCCTCTGGGCTTCATCCAGTTCTATTTGGCTAAAGTGTAGCAGCCCCCTTACCCCAGATCAGTAGTTTATTAATAGAGCTCATTGTGCTATATAAAGAACACAGGGGCTATAGCTTTTGGAGCTGGGGCAAGACAGAGGAGAGGGACAAGGTGTTGACAGGAAGCCTTTCATCCAGAGCAGTCCCTAAGGGGGAAACTGGAAGAGGCTTCTAATTGTAACCCTCAGCCTTCAAATGGGGTGGCTAAGACTTGGAGAGCGGGACATAACTGTTTTGGTTAAGACTTGTCTGTCTCTTGTGTCACAGACCGCAGCTCTACTCTCCACCTCGTCCATTAGAACCCACAACTATGTGTAATTACAGGAAGGAAAGACGAGCTGTTGACCAGCGAACATTGGAGATTGGATCTGTCCTAGAGGTTTGGGGTTGTGTGTGTTATTGTGTGTGTGAGTGAAGGTACATGTACAATTGTGGTAGAGGATGCAGGAGGATGAGGGATGGATTGAGTTGGGGGTTCAAGGAAAGGGGTCTGTATGTTTGTGCAGTGAGAGGCAGTTTAGAAAGGGGATGCTTTGTGGTGGCAATCCAGAAAGACAAGACACTTAGTTGTTCCTGAGCTTGCTTTATGAAAAGGATTTATCTTCCGCAAGAGGCGCAGATTAATTCCCAGTCACTGTATGGCCACTGTGGTTCCTTTATGGCAGCAGAAATCAAAACAAACTTTGTGACTAGATATCTAAACACACAACAGTTACAGCTAAGATTTCTCTCAGGAGGAGTGAGTTATACCATACCCTGTTTATTCACATCACCACTGGTTGCTACCAAAGGGGTGATGTTTCTTTCATAAAACAACATGGATTAAAGATGTACAGACAACAAATATGGTAGGAACAACATCAATACAGTATATACATATGGTTGTTATTTCCCCTGGGCCCACCCATACTGACACATAAACACTCATGAGACACTTTGGAATAAAGCATCTAGCATTTAAATGTTGTGACATGACACATGAGGTACCATAGTGGTGTTATAAGATATCATATGACCTACAGATGGAATACATGGTATTTCTTTTATGTGCAAATTTGATGCAACATTTTGACAACTGACTTTGCTTAGTGGGACCTAACATAATACAAGATATACAGTAAGGAGCTGTCTCTCAAAGGGGGTTTGGTGAGTATGAGAGAGCGTGAACACACACCGACCGAGAACCAGGCGCAGCAGTGATTTACTCACATGGAAAACAAAGACAACTAGAGAATGCAATTCCTGAAGAAATTGCTAGTGGGAATGCTTTATGCTGAAAAGCTGACGCTAAACTGCTATGCCGAAATGTAATGTGTAAGAAGAAAGTGAAGAATTTAGATTGAAATGATACATGAACACTGGGGGCTTGAATGTGTGATGAGAGAAGAAAAGAAAGTAAAAAGGCTTGGAAAAGCAGCAGAATATTTTAAATGCAAACTTTTGAACTAACTTGATGGCGAATGATCTGTCGCCATGCCAACGGCATTTGATGACATCCCATAATACGCTTAGATGCGTTGAGGGCTGCATCGTTACCAAACCTGTGAAGTTTTGGGCCATTTCGAGCATTTGAACTGAAGTTCAAAAGATGTGCAATACTTAAAACGTTTATAAAGATCCTCTGAGTGTGTGTCATTAGTTAGCTGATCAAATGTTAGGGATAAATACCTTGACATATTGACTACAAGAGCTTGAATCAAACAAGCAACCTTGTATTTGAAAGATTAACTGACATAGCAACAGGTATATAAGTGGTGTGGCTGAGTACTTTAAAGCAGGGGTTCCCAACCTTTATTGTGCCAAGGACCGGTAGATACATTAAAAAAAAATCGCGGACCGGTTGTCAATTTTAACTGATTTCAATATTTACTCACCAGCAGGTAGCAACAGAGGCTTATTGTATGTAACAGCCTGAACAAATACTAGAACAATATGCATCCAAAACATATTAACAAAGTTTAAAAAAGAACCGGTGTTGTTTTTTAGTTTTTCGGAAAACCAAAAAACCGACGTTATTCAATTTGTAAACCAAAACGGGAAAACAGATAAATCAACGTTTTGGTTTTGTTTGTATGATTTACGGATAATCAGTGAATGCTGGGAAAACGAGGAGAAGGCGCATTATGAAGGAGGTGTGTGTGTGTGTGTGTGTGTGTGTGTGTGTGTGTGTGTGTGTGTGTGTGTGTGTGTGTGTGTGTGTGTGTGTGTGTGTGTGTGTGTGTGTGTGTGTGTGTGTGTGTGTGTGTGACACTGGCATTTGTTTTCAGAAGATATTATGATAGTGTTGTTCGTTCCGGTGCACTCCGACAGCATTTAGCACGACATCGAGATTAAGATTAAACTAATTTATTTTGGGAACAGCCGCATATATGCCGGTGTCGGACAGACACAAACACACCGAACACACAGAGCTGAGCTGAGCAGAGCACATACACACACACACATCATGCGCCTTGGTGACTGACTGGACATCTCCTTCATAAAACTAATAAAAGGGGAAGTAATCGGGCAGTTCGATGTGTGTAGATGTGTGTGTGGTTAACACGTAGCAGCCTGCAGTCACTATGTTCTGATGAAGTTAAACACAGCGAAGGCGGTGCGTAAAAAGGCACTGCTCTTTACCGAGTACGTCCCGCTGCCTCCTGATGCTGCAGCCATTTCATGAAGTGAAGGAGGGTTTCCTTCTATAAAACAGCTGCGGGCAGCAGATACCGTGAGAGTCCCGGACATTCATTCATAGATCAAGGCAGACTGGTTTACTCTCCTGTTTTGCCAATCCGGTGCTTAAACAAATAGCTCTACACCCCTGGCCGACATGTCCTTAAAATGAAGTCCGAGTTTGAAATATATCTCAAATAATGTATGCACCACCATTTCCCCACATAAACATAACAGTCTGCAATCAAACGGTTGTCTCCTGTGTGCTCCTCTTCCTACTTGGCGCACCGGTAACATGCTTGTGCGCACAAGAGGCTGAGACCTTAGGCTGAGCCGCCGAATCCCTCGGAACATCATAAAAGCCATTTTCAACGGTTTTCTGGTGAAAAATTAACTAGCTACTGGATGAAATAATATGACTGGTGGCATAGGTGCGAAAATTAAACACTTTTTGAAAAAAATATTATGATAAAATATTTTTTTATAATAATTCTGCAAATATTACGATAAACTCACAGCTATTTCGCGGCCCGGCAGTAAGACCCTCCGCGGCCCGGTACCGGTCCGCGGACCGGGGGTTGGGAACCCCTGCTTTAAAGGGTTCATGAATAGAGGGGACTTCAATGTGAAATAAGAACAAGAAAATAAAAGTCTAAATGCATGAAAAAGCAGCAGAATATTTGAACTGAAAACTTTAGAACTAAAAGCATACGTCACCAATAATGTATAAAATATGTGGAACATGTTGAAGTCAGTATGAAGTCTCCATCAGACGGAAAAGAATAGGCTGAGACAGTCTGTTAAAGTCCAGTGACCACGTCATTAGTCTGCTGCTCTAATTATGTCAATTGGAGTTATGACATCATGGTGTTCCATGACACAGGTGTTTATATTTGAGCTAACGACGTGTCCAGAGATCAAAGGTTTCCATGGTGATGTGCAGTAATCTGTGAGAGGAGAGCATTTGCATTGGAGCTGGTGGTGGATTTCAGACGGCGCCAACACTCCCCCGACACCAGTGAACATCCAGGGAGCGGACATTGAGATTGTGAAATCTTACAAATACCTGGGCGTTCATCTGAACAATAAACTGGACTGGACTGATAATTCTGCTGCTCTGTACAAGAAGGGACAGAGCATACTCTTTCTGCTGAGGAGACTGAGGTCTTTCGGGGTGCAGGGGACACTCCTTCAGACATTTTATCACTCTGTTGTGGCATCAGCCATTTTCTATGGTGTGGCCTGCTGGGGCAGCAGCATCTCGGCGACTGACAGGAAGAGACTGAACAGACTGGTAAAGAAGGCCAGCTCTGTCCTGGGGAGTCCTCTGGACACTGGTGGTGGGAGACAGGAGAATGGCAGCCAAGCTGTCCTCCCTGCTGGACAATGTGTCCCATCCCCTCCAGGACACCCTGTCCTCACTGTGCAGCTCCTTCAGCGATAGGCTGCTGCACCCCCGCTGTCTCACGGAGAGATACCGCAGGTCCTTCCTTCCTGCAGCGGTCAGACTATACAACCAGCACAGCACCTAGTAGACCCCCCACCTAGATTCTGATTCTGATTGTTCTGAATGAGAGATAAACCTGTTACATGTGAACATTTTGTTGAAGAACCGTAACAGATATCGGTGAAATGTCAACGCGTGAAGCATGTCAAGGAACTTGAGCATCTGAAGTGTACTTTTTGTGTACTTTCGGATTAATAATGTGGCCTTTTTGGCAGATTAACTAAAGGTGTGCGGCTGCTGCTGTGAGTAAAGATCAGCTTGAATTTACAATGGGCTTTAATGGAGACATGTTGAAAGGTTTTTGTCACTTCATGCCCTCAAGAGGCATTTTGTTTAATTATTTTGCTTAATTTCTTTCCACTTTTCAAGCTACAAGATGTTTTCCCACGTTTGTCATGAATAAATGATGTCTCAGGAGTGTAGGGTTTGGGAATTATGGCAGGTTTAAAAAGAAAATATGAAGGCGAATTTCAAGCTGTCCTCCACTCTAGCTTTGAGATCACGCACCTTAACGAGCTGCTCAATACACACTAATGTTCAAATCTGAAGAAGGCCTCTGTACCAAGGTCTGAACAATGTTTAATATTTCTAAAAGTAAGAATCAGATTTAAAAGTTGTGTTACACGAATAATGTCAGAAAGATGTGTAACATTTTTAAGTTGGAATGAGGTTTCTGAGTGAAAGTATGAATGAACAGTTAGCAGTTGAAGTCGCATGAAGATTTGTTCAAGTCTGAAGATTTTCTCCATTGACTTCAATGGTTAAAAATGTGATGAATTATGGGATGTATCTCTGGAATTATGAAAGTTATGAATGATAAAAGTAATAGCCATCGATTCCCGACGGAGCTGAACGTTTTGATGTTAGAACGGAGTTTCTGCGATGTGGAATGTGGGAGGAGAAGAGGTGCAAAATAACCCGACGGAATAATAAAGAATTTTGTGCGTAGCATAACATATAGTTGGAATGCTGTGTCAGCATTCCAACTATATGACATGTAGACCACACATGGATACCAGGACACATGTGTGCATACATACTACTCATCCAACCGTGCATACGTGTGCATATAGACAAACACAATCCATTTGGAGCAGTGGCTCAGCTGCTGCCAAGCTGGCTTCCTATTCCCATCAAATGTGCCTGCACTAACCCTGGATCATGTCTTCATGTTGGCTCACAAGAATCAGAATGTGTGTGAAAGTGTCTCTCTATCTTTGCTGAATGGAAGCATGAAAAGCCCATTACAGAAGACCAGAGTCAGAGCCTGTCTTTTATATAATACTAATAATATTAGTGTAGCATCATATTTATCTGCAACTGTGTCAAATATACCGTCCTCAAACATGATGCAAAGACATCGAAGGTCAAAGTTAATGAAGCTTTAATACTTCAAACTATTTGGTACAGCTTTACTGAGTTTTCAGAGTATATATTATGATAATGTACAAAGGTATTTTATACACTTTATTTTACTTTGCCTTTTAAGGATGTGCACTTGTAAATGTTAAAAGCAAGTGAGATGTTCTCTCTTCTTTTTACCTGGCCTGGAAGGTGAGGTGGTGTGTGAGGTCGGCCTCCGTGTTCAGCAGGGGCTCCTGGTGGCCCTGGCCCTGGATCAGCTGGCTCTCTCTCAGTCCCAGACTCCTCTTCTCTACGTGAAGGATTACTGGATCTGGCAGGTGGCTCCTCATAACAAACAGTGGACTAAAGACCACCTGAAACAGGACATTCATACAGAACAGTCATCAGTTAGTGGATGTTTTCATTAGCTGTTGTTAATCCATATAAAGTCTGTTTTCTAGTTTTGGACTGTGAATGAATTAAAGCTATTCTGATAAGAAACACTGGGTTACAAATATAGAAGCAATCAATATCACAATAGCACAGATTGCATAACTTCAAAACAAACAAACCAAGCTGGTCTGTGAAAATGTTTCCTCAAAAATGAGAAGTTTTGCAAGTTCTGCTTTACCACATCCACTGTCTTTTATGCATATGGATATGTAACGCTTTGGTGCTCCTTAGTAATTAACAAGAATTGCTCTTACTACCTGGCAAGAGCTAGAAAAACCTCCACATAAACAGATACAGTGTGAGAAACAACAACACAATCATGCCACATTATGAGAAAACAAACACTTTGAAGGTAAGTTTGTGCAGGGACACTCACCACTCTCTGCTGCATGTGAGTGTCAGCTTCAATTGTGAAAAGAGTGCACCAAACATAGAGCAAAGATCCACTGGAGCAAGGCACCTGGAAGAGACACACTGCACTGTTCAGAACATGTCTACCATTGATGTACAGGGTTGATAGGAAAAGATTGATCAAGAACACTGAAGTGCAACTTGATTGTGTTTGTTTATGGTTGTAATGCAACAAAAAAGGATATCTGATGCCTTTGCTGTCTCTTGTCACTGACAGAATATTAATTGCTTCCATCAGCAACACATTGTCATAAAATGTTTAGATCTCCCTAAAGCCTGCCAACACACTTTCAAGAGGTGACTGTTATCTGCCAGATGATCGGACATTACAGACAGTTCAATCTTAGCAAGAAGTGCTGGGAATGTGTCCACCGAAAGGCTGGGCATGTCCTGCTGTTGTCCCGTTTACTCCTTGCTCCTCATTAACGCCTTGAGATGCCAAGGCACTTTACAAGTGGTCTAGTTTATGACAGACTGCGGACTTTATGTACTAGTGGGGACATCAGAGTGGAGCAAAGAGACAGAACAAACATCAGTTTTGATATAGTGGGCCTTGCAAAACAGCCTTGTTGGGATGAGGGAGTGAACATTGGGAAACAGATACTTTATAAGCCTGATCCACAGGAAACACTCACAGCTGGAATGAGGTCAAGATGACCTCCTGTACTTTCTCAAAAGTAAAGTACAAGGGTAATGAAAGATGTTGGAAAAAATGGATAGGGAGGAGGAAGGTGAGATATGAGGAAGAGGAGTTACTTCAGATGGATAACCGATACAGATAACAAGGAGACAGATGAGAAAGGAGACACATGTTCAAGGGAGAGAGGCCGGACCAGGTGGACAAGCTAAATGCCAGAGCATGAAGTAAATAAAGAAAAGGAGTTAACAACTACAAGATAGATGAGTGAGGCAGTGTGTGGGAGAAAGGTAGAAGAAAGGGAGGAAACCAGAGAGTGAAATAGCAGGAGACAGACAGAGATAGAGAGTTCTGAGGACCCAGCTACTAGTCCAGGCAGCTCTCTCATTCAGAGCCAAGCCTCCATATGTGTAATGAATGTCTGATAAGAGATAACAGCACAGACTGGAATAGTCTGAAATGTTCAGACACACAGAAGCTGGAGCTGCAGAAACTAGCTAGCTGTTAACAGCATGGGGATTATATAGGCAGGAAGAGAACAGAGAATAAGATCTAAAAAATACAGAACAGAGCCACACAGAGCCAGAGCAGCAGGGACGGAGAGGAGAGATTTTCTGGCCCTCATCCAGCAGTGTGAAAGTGCCTTCAAAGCTCTCCTCGTGCCCACATATCAGCTAGTGTTTCCTGTCAATGGTTAGCGTTGTTATGAGAGGGCATAAACTGTATGTTCTGCCTCTCAACATGGTCAGGTTATGGGTCTGCGGGCCTTTGCAAGCCTATCTGAAGGGAAGATCTCAATCTGTTTTCTGACTGTGAGAAGCTCTGCCACTGTGGCCACCCAGAGAGAGGATCCGTCACAGCTGGTGGTCCACTCACCGGCTCCAAATGTGTGTGTGGCTGAAGAGCCAGTTGGAAGTTGTTGTGCAAGCAATGAGAGTATTTATCTGTGTTCGTGTGTGACATCCATATCAAACATCTTTGACATTTAAAATGATATTTAAATGAACTAATGTGGTCTATAAGAGTTAAGAGCATTCATACTGGTCTATAGCAGTGGTTCCCAAACTTTTTGGGCCCAAGGCACACCAAAGGACAAAAAAAAATCTCAAGGCACACCTATTGTGCAAAATAGCCCGTATAACACGTGTTATCACTCATATCATGTAAAATATCTGTGAATATCAAGTGAAATGTGTTTTCTATGTCCTATAGACTCTATAGGACATAGAAAACACATTTCACTTGCCAACTTGTGGCTACATTCACCTTCAGGAATACTTCATCCCCAAAATGGTCATTTGTAAATCGATAGTCGCCATGTGCTACCTTGAATTAATGGAGAAAAACTGTGTTTTCACAAACGTGTCCAAACGCTAATGACAAGGTCTGATTTATCTAAATATCCCATCTTATTTCAAGAAATCTTACCAAGTACATTTTCACAGATTTTTTAACTTACAAGCGAAAACACCTTGTTTTCATAATTGTTTTACTTGATTTTGGAGCGGCATTTTTTCAACCCTATCTCAAGAAATCTATTATTTCATAATTTCATCAAATACTTTCTCAGTTTTTGGAATCTTCAATCATCAATCAAATACAAATGATCATTTTGGTGGTGAAGTATTTCTTTAAAGGTCCCATCCCATGTTTTCCGGTTATTACCCGTCCCCTTGTGTGTTATGAAGGTTTTTATGCATCTAATCCAGGGGTGGGGAACCTTTTTCCTCTCAAGGGCCATTTCAATTTTTTCAACATCCTCCGAGGGCCGTACAAATGATTGACCTCTGCTTAAAAATACTAAAATCACAGCCCATTCATTTCACCTTTCTTTCATGCTGTGCAAAGAAAAAGCAACCTCTTAATCCAGATATCTTACCATGACTCGCGCATGCATGCACGTGCACGGTGTGGCATGACCACCACAACAGAAAGATATGGACACAAGATGTGTGCAAATGTATTTAGTTTCCTATCCATGTGGACATGATTTAAGTAGGGGGGGGACCTAACCTCCTCTAGGGGGGTCCAGGGGCATGCTCCACCGGGAAGATTTGTTTTTAAATATTGAAGTTAAAAGCATCAATCTGGTGCACTTTAGCAACATTAGGAGATCTATGGATACATCTCTCAACATCCATATGAAACAGAACTGTAAGCAGATTTCTTTTTCTTTATGGATATTTTACAAATCACTCCCCTTTTAAACTGTATTCTTGTTTATTAATAACAACTTTTTTTTACTGTCATATAGTATTTTATACCTGTTTACTTTATTCTCTTATTTTTTTATAACTATAATGATCATATAAAGATGTGCCTTTACCTCACTGGTTGGAGAAAAAGCTTCTTATATTCGTTAGCATAGCTAGCTAACCAGATGCTAATAACAACAAAGGTATGATCAGTATGACAGATGAACAGATCGCCACTGGGCTTTCAACTGAAGACACAGCCACGCAAAAACTGCGGCATGTGTACGGCTCCTTATGGGTACTGACATTTCTGAAGTGGCGGAGCGACGTTCTGGTGCTCTCCGTCAGAACTACAGCCCTGTCAGACGAGACCATGGATGTATAATAAGAACTGGATACAGCGTGGGAGGCGGGGCTTCATTCATTCCTATGAGAGTTGCTCATTGGCGCGTGAAGATAAAATGGCCCAATTTTTGAGAGAGCGAAACGTCACAGATTACCCGTCATGCCTGAGAAGTAACCGTATGTGCGCTAGAGATGGGCGAGTCCTGATTCATCCGGATCATTAACCCGGATCCTAGAAATGAGCTGGTCATGACGAGTCTCCCCTCTCCATTAACCCGAGTCCTTGAGTCCCACACTTGGTGTGACGTACAAATTAAAACTATAAATTGCGTCACTCGCTACTCTCTTTATAACATGTAAAATCACATTACAACGTACCCCAAGTCCATCTACCTACCCTTTAGCAAGTATACAGGATAGCTGCCAGAAGTGATCGTTTGGCTCAGGGGAGGGGACGCGGATCAGTGAAACTTCCTGCAGACTCGTGGGGACTCAGAGGAGCCGACGGCTCCAACAGCAGACTCGCAGATTCGCAGATTCGCAGATTCGCAGATTCGCAGATTCGCAGATTCGCAGATTCGCAAATCCTGACTCGCTGCAACACACAGCAGACTCGTGCGGACTCAGAGCCGTATATAGCAGCAGATCCAGAGATCCAGCAGACTCGTCGTCATGCACGAGTCCACACAGCAGACTCGGATTCGCAGATTCGCAGATTCGCAAATCCTGACTCGCTGCAACACACAGCGGATCAGACTCGTGCGGACTCGGAGCCGTAACCATATAGCAGCAGATCCAGAGATCCAGCAGACTCGTCGTCATGCACGAGTCCACAGCAGACTCGGATTCGCAAATCCTGACTCACTGTGTGTGCAACACACAGCAGAGCAGACTCGTGCGGACTCGGAGCCGTATATAGCAGCAGATCCAGAGATCCAGCAGACTCGTCCTCATGCACGAGCAGACTCAGATTTGCCAAATCGCAAAATAACCCTTTTTTTTGTGATCAACATTTTTTATTAAAGCAAAATACACTGTGTAGCGGAGGTTAATTATAACGTCAGTTTAATAGATAGATAGATAGATAGATAGTACTTTATTGATCCCAAATTGGGAAATTGTTGTTGTTACAGCAGCATAAAAGGCATTTTACAATAAAACAAAACTACAAAATATACAAGAATAGAAATAAAAATAAAATATACATGTCGAAATAGAAAATATACATGCAGATATTATATATATATATATATATACAAATATATATATATATTCAAAATATATGGAATAATAATATGCTCGTGAAATGCAACAACTTTTCGGTTTCACCAATAGGATTTCTACGGTCTTGGTCATGCTGACTCATATGACTCAAATGACTCGTATGATCCGGATCTCTTCAATGACTGACTCAGAAGACCCTGAGTCCGTAAAATGATCCGGATTTGCCATCTCTAATGTGCGCTCATAGAGCATGCGCAACTTTAACCACGCCCCCCAAAAGGTTCGTTCACATTAAGCACGTCAATTTGTACACGTAACAGCACTGCGCGTTCATGACAGCATGGTACTGGATTGCTATAGAGAGGCGAAGTCCCTCCCCTTCCGGTGGGACTCATGGGACCTTATTTCGGAAAAAGTTTCTATTGAAGTCAATGGAGAGAGAAAGATTATCTTTCGATCCCGAATTGTGCCACGAATTACACATATGATGTTTGTCAATCTTAAATAATCATTTCCATGCCAAAAAAGTCACAGTTTGTCGTAAAACTGTTGAAATATAAGACTATGAAAAATACGCAACTAGAAAGACTACAAATCCCAGAATCCCGGTCCCGCATGCTGGCTCTTACGGAACCGACTAACTCCCCTTGTGTGTATGTACAGCTCTCAACATGCCCAGACTTGGAGTGATTTTCACCTCTTTTAATACTTTTCGCCTCATTCTGAAAGAAAGAAGTGAAATGTGCCAACGTGACGGCCGTCTTGGTGTGTGGTGCGAGACGGGAGATGTAGTTCATTGAACGGTTTCACACAAAAAAAAGTGTTACTTCACAGTTTTACAACACATTTTAATTGTTTTGACTTGTAAAATTATCTTTTAAATTGACAAACATCATATGTGTAATTCGTGGCACAATTCAAACGGGATCGAAAGATAATCTTTCTCTCTCCATTGACTTCAATGCATAACCTTTCCGAAATAAGGTCCCATGGAGCTCAACCGGAAGGGGAGGGACTTCGCCTCTCTATATGATGGATTTTGATATTAATGAGGCGGCCGCGGCAGTTAGCAGCTAGCGGCTAGCTAGTAATTATGCTAATTTACACATCAATCGGTATGTACTTTTATATTACGCTGTAACAGGATCTAGTGATATCCAAGCAACAGAGCTTCATTTAGCATGATACTTGTGTGGGTTGTACATGAAACCACTTGGTAATATATCAAAATATATGTATTTTTGAGTATATATATATACACATACATATACCTACGGGATATATATATATATACATATACATACATATATATATATATATATATACAGTGCAATAAGCTTCTTAGTGCAATAAGAAGCTACAGGGACGTTAATCTACGTCGGTAATATTAACTTTATTTTATACAACATTTACGGTACAAGATTTAATCATACAGCCCATGTAGTATAATATTTTACAAATGATGAATTACAGCAAACATGTGCAATATATCCATTATTACAGCTCCGTGGGCTGGCAGTAAGGCGATATGGGTCCGTTCTTATTGTGCATCCATGGGTAAAGGTAAAACGCACGTAGTACTGAACGCGTAACATGAACGTGCCGGGTGGCGCGGTCCCGTGGGTTAGATGCGCGTTCATAATGCCGAGGGAAATAACTCTCAGAATAACGTTATTAGCACATTTTACAACTTGAGGACCGAATGTTTTTAATAAGGGCTATACAAACGTTCATACTGGGTAGTTTATTTAGTTTCAAAACAATTATCCAACGATTTACAGACCACTCTTTCCCCATGTAAGTCAATGGGAAAAAGTGTTTCCAGGCCCAGCAACCTAACGGAAGTGTAGTACCGCCGTTTGGCCACAACGAATATTTTCCTCAGAGTCCGGCGCACTTCGTGGGGGCTTGGACGAGACATATACCACGTGATGACACGTTAGGCTCGTGTTGTGTTCAAGGACCCTGAGCTTGGCCAGGAAAAACAGGCACTCGCTTGTTTAATTATTTTGCGGTCTAGATTTCTTTAATTTTTTTCTTTTTTGTGTGTGTTTATAAATTACCTTGAGGGCCAAATGGTCTCGCGGTCCGTATACGGCCCGGAGGCCGGAGGTTCCCCACCCCTGATGTAAACGGTCTGCAAAGTCACAAACCCTCAAAGTACACCCTGTAGCAAGTAAAACTCTAAAACAGAAAAGACCTATGCTGCCCCAGAACGCCTCGTTGGAGATTTTCTTTTTCAATTTTTTTCTTCCGGGAACCAAGTAACGTAACGACGACCCCTCCGTGGATTGGTCAAAATTGACCAATCCGTGGAGCCGTTACGTTACGTCCGCGGAGCCGTTACGTTAAGTCCGTGGATTGGTACAAATTGACCAATCCGCGGACTTCCTCACACACACACACACTCAATCTTTTCTCAGCTGCAGCTCCGCCGATTTCTCCTCCCTGAGACGGCGGGACGTTCGGGCTGGTTTCGCTGTGTCTCGCTGTCTCGCAGGTGGCCACTGGGCTCATAGGGAGGGGGGGGCAGGAGCTCCAACAAGCCGTTTAGGACAGAGAGTGAATACACATACTATACAGAGATGCTGTATGAGAAAACCAATGTGAGTTTGGAAAATTGCACAATATAAATCTATTTTAGTATACCTCAACAATGGAATTATGATCAGTAGAAATGGCCATGACATGGGGCCTTTAAAGAGTGTGTTTGTGTTACCACACCTGTACCACAGAGCTGCTGGGGCCCCTCTCCCTCCTCTCGAGCTGGACATCCTGGGACCAGTCTTCATCTCCTCTGGCCCTCACACAGAGCTCCGTCATCTCAGCGTCCTCCAGCACATATGATGGCAGCTTGGCCCCTGCCTCCAGACAGTCACAGTGTTCCCTCACCACGGTCTGAGCGTCAGGCCCGACGTAGTGCTGCACCACCCGCAGCTCAATGTGCTGAGTCAGGTAGCTGAGCATCACCTGCCGCCCACAGATGATCACCTGCAGAGAGGAAGGTCACAGGGGAGAGTCCCTCAAATCAAACAAACTCATGTCAGCAGGCTAGGGTTAGGGTTAGCCATAACATTATTTATTTTCCTGGCTGCCATCATTGACAGAAAAATCTGAGAAATTAGTAAGATGTGAAGAAGTTTTGCTTGTCACTTTTATGAAAATGATTGAAAACTGTGTACAGTTTGAATAAACCAAGAAATGTAAAGCTTTGTTCAATATTTTCTTTCTTATAGATAAATGATTCAACCCTTTAAATAGAAAGAATCAACAGATGACTTGGTAATGACAGTAGGGGCACCTGTCTTCACATGTGTTCTCCCCACGGGCATCCGTGTGCCCAGTGTGTATAATATGTATAGAATACATGTGTGTTTGCAGATGTGTATGTGTATTTGAGTGACAGAGATATATACAAGGGTGATTTTTGGGTTGTTTTAAGGTGCCAATATAAAATATACGGGGGCCTTCAAAATAAAAGACCAGGGGGTCGCTAAGCAGTAAGGGTTTGCACAGCTCTGAGTGATAACAAAAAAAACAAAAGATGAGGTATGCTTTCGCAGGCGGGAGACCATTTCCTCTGTAGTGGCAGCCTCTGTCCCACTCTCAGCTTTGTGTTGTGATTGGATGTGACCAACACTCATTCCCTTACACTGGATGCAATGGGAACAAGAAGTAAACACAGTCTGGCTGGGACAAACGGAGGAAGGAATGCAAGAGCTGCGTCTGTTTTGTCTGGAGGACGGGAGAGAGACATGTGCGACACTTGACACTGTTTATATAACAAAGTGTCACCGCTAAAATCTTACGGCATCTCTGCATTATCAGGAATACATGAGTCTGCCTTGTATTCGTGGAAAAAAACAACCATGATTCACGTTTTGATTTCCTCAGATCTTCTCTGGGAATCGATGGGGCACAATGTGTTGTTGGATGGCTTTGAGCTCATATGCTTTTGTTTAAGTGTAATCAAACAGATTATGAAAATTGAAAAAAAGTCTGCTGTTATCCACGCAACTATTAAAATAATAACATACAAATGAAAACAACTGCTCATTCAAAAATGAGTGCTGGGAAACGGCCAGGCATGTAGTACTTCTGAACCACTTACAAATGGTTTCACAGGTTAGCGGGAACATAATATGAACCATCCCTCTATTTTCTTGATTTAAAAAAAAACTTGGCCTTGTTTATTACTGTTGTATTTTATCATCACAATTCTACTCAATAATAAGTGTAGCCAGGACTGGGTGACTGTCTTTCTGTAGACTCTTTTCCAACATTAGGGTTATGCTAACCATGGTCTCTTCTTTATTGTAGAAACTGACCACAAAGTTCAATAACTATTTTGGTTAACCTTACAGCTTATATATACAATTTAAATGCACAATGTATTTTTTACAAGGAAATACCAAACATGACAAAAATACAACAACTGAGCAAACTCTATCTAGCGAAAAGTAGCATTGGAGACATGTAGCAGTTTTAAATTGACTTAAGTAATTGTAATCTTTGTATAGTGTTTATTGTTAAGTTGCAATAGACAATGAATTTGCTTTAACTTTTCATTATGAAGAATATGTTTAAATGTATTAGTGACTTTAGAGAAATGAAGCCATGAGGGTTTAGCATTTCCAATGGGCACGATCTCTCATCAAATAAAGACTACATTATACAGCACAAAGAAAATGTGTGTTGACCTGAACAGTGAGAGAATAATACTTTGTTTGATCCTGTAGCTATCAGCAGCTATTCCCAGGTAGCCAATGGCAGGCAGTGGAATAACTGGAGAAGCTATGGAAATGAGGCCAAAGAAAAAGAGCCTGTATGACAGAGGAGGCAAAGAATGTAAAAAGGGAGAGTGATGTGCACACTTTTAGATGTTTAAGAGGTTTTGTATGCTTTGTTAGCAATGAAAACATAAGAAAAACAAAAAAAAGACAGTCTGTACCTGTTTCTGGACCCCGTTGAGCTGCGTCACCTTGATGATGAGTGAAGCTGTGCGTCCTTTGTACTGGATGGTCCTCAGCAGAGTCCCTACGTTGTCCACACTGAAGGCCTCTGACCAGCGCCAGTTCCCCCAGCCCTCGATGCAGATGTGCAGCAGCTGCAGGACCCACACATACAAACACACACAGAAGACACATCAGAGGTTAGTCTTCTTGTCTTTTATTTATATCCATGCAAAGGCAAGTAAATAACAGCTTTCTTTGTTTAAACAATTTTGTAGGCCGAAGTAGGGAGACAACGAAGTTCCTGTTTACTGGTGCTGAGCAGACCTGCTGCTGTGGAAGTAGAAACAAGAGGTCGCACACAATAAACTCGCTGGTGGGAAACAGCTGATGTGGAAGCTCATTATGGCTGCATATGTGTGTGTGTGTGTGTGTGTGTGTGTGTGTGTGTATACTTGTGCGGTTTGATGTGGAGGGTTCTGGTCTCTACACGTCTAAATAAGAAGCACGTCGTTTGGATCTCACCCCTTTCAGCTTCATAGACCTTGTTCACTGTTGAACACATCCATGTGTGTGTCTGGGGGTAAACACACACTCATTTCACATCCAAACTACTTTACAATGGTGACAATATTCCGACCATTTTCCACATAATTCCTTGTATTATGTGCAACAAAAATGGCAGCAGGGCTACAATATTTAATATGATTTCTAAGACAGCTACATATTGATCACAACAGTGGTTTAGATGATATATCATTGCACAACACTAACCTATTTAAAGTGTGATGAGGTGCACATTTCTGAAGCCTTTGATACATTCCCCCAGCTTCTAAATCAACACACACACGATGGACACAATGTAACATGTCTCTTAATATGAACTCTCCCCTTCTGTCCTTGCCTCAGTTCACGTTTCTCCGTGCGTACGGTACAGTGTTTGGCCTTGGGGAAGGGCGCCCTATTGAAGATCAGCTAGCACCTGTTTGTGAGGCTCTCTTCATCAGCTGTGTTAAGAGATGACCACATTCGGACTTCTGAATATGCATAAAGCAGGTTTGTGAACATTCTCTCCTTCAGATGATGAAAGGACTCAACATGCCACGAGTCAGACAGTGAGTCTCATCCTGACGGGTTATGTCTTGGTGATGGAGAGTTTGGTTAGCGGCTCTCTGTGGGTAAAAGCAGCAGTTTAGGGGACAGACACACACACACACACACACACACACACACACACACCGACACACACACACACACACACACACACACCGACACCGACACACACACACACACACACACACACACACACACACACACACACACACACACACACACACACACACACACACACACACACACACACACACACACACACACACACACACACACACCACACCACACACACACACACACACACACACACACACACACACACACACACACCAGTAGGTTACTGGGCTGTTCAGATGTCCATCCGTGCATACAGCCACAGTGAGGTCATACATGACGAGGGAACTCATTTGTCAAACAAGGTGAGTGTTGTCATGATATTATGGTCACAATACGGGAGCAGAATCATAAATACGCAGAGAGATCTGAGGAGTTGTCCCCTCCCGAGGCCGCGAGGCTGACCTCCTACCGACTGAACTCTGTGTCAGCCAACACTGCTTCAAACTCGCAACAGTCAGGGAGGGAGGAGAGAGAACATGAAAAAGACAAGAATGTAAGTGAGAGAGAAAGTCATGAAAGACAGGGGTGGGGGCGGTGGGGGCTATACAACCCCAGAGGAGTTGCAACTAGTGAAACACTTTTTGAAGTCCTACACTTTGGCTCGTCGCCTCAATGTGCCAAACATTTAGCAAGAAAAACAAATGACTCCTGAGGTCAGAGAGCATGGGGGACCCTGGTCAGGACCCTCGATGTTTCTCTGCTCCAGTCTCTCCTCACCGTTTGAAGGCATATTTCTTTACAATAACATTCTTAATCAAAGCCTGAATTGACTTTCTTCAAGATCATCCCTTCTCCCTGTTGGCTGAGTGGAAAGGCCAGCTGATCTCCTGCTCACTGGACTTTCTCACAGGGAACGTGGCTGTAGACAGGCAGGGTGGGGGGGCAGAGGGTAAGGTTAGGCTTAAGGGTGCAGAACCACAAGATGATTCCCTAAACCACCACAGACATTACAACCACGACTAGTTAAGATCATAGTGGTCTGCCATTCTGCTCCTATTCTATGTTTGAGTGACTTGGCACTGGATGAAATTAAAACCTTTACATTTGCTGTCAACTTCAAATGTTCAGTAACTTCTTAGTATCAGCCCCTGACTTTAAGAAGTTGTGAGGAACTCTATTTGTGTTAATTATGGTGAAAATGTTGTGGCACTTCTCTCTCCTTTAACCCCTCCGTTCGTCCCCCTCTCGCTCAACTTGACCGGAAGTCATAATAATGTCTCAAACTTGAAACAGTGCCTGCTGCTCTTGTTTTAATTCATCACTGCTCTGACTCAAGCAGTGGAAGAAAAAAACAAAACACCAGCAGTGACACGTAGGATAACAAGAATGAAAAATAAGAAGCTGTTTATCTTCTTTGGGACCTATTTGACTTAACCCGGTCAGCCTCATGCTGTGCTTTCATGCACAAGTTTAAGGCTGCACTAACACTAGCAGGTTTCAACTGACTGAGGAATTCACCAGTTGATTGGCTTTTTAGAAAAATGTGGATTAATAAGAATCAGGTCAAATGAAAGCATAGGTTCACATTTGTTGTACTCAATACAGTAATCAAATGCCCATATGCATAATGAAATAGTTATGTTCTGTGTTTCATCAGGAGAGGGTTATGTTTTAACTTTAAAAAAAGAAAAATCTTATTGCACATACTTTTGAAACTTAAATAATTTCATGTAGCTTCTGGGGCCCCCAGGCATGTTGAGAAACCATGATCACATTGGCTCTAATTCGAGGATCTCTCACCTCAAGAACCAAAACGATGAAATACCCCCCGAGGGTCTTACATAAACATAAAGATGCCTGTTAGGTTTGCCCTCATGTAAGACCCTCTTGCTGGACTTATTTAAGTCCAAATCAGACTTTTTTCTATCACTGCATTCAACTGTATAACATGACCAGGGTCACGGTATAGAAAACTTTTGTCAAACATATTTATCATATAAGAACTATAGTGGAATGCTGTAAAAAAGACAGTGTTGCATTCCACTAGAAGAACTATAGTGGAATGCTGTAAAAAAGACAGTGCTGCATTCCACTAGAAGAACTATAGTGGAATGCTGTAAAAAAGACAGTGTTGCATTCCACTAGAAGAACTATAGTGGAATGCTGTAAAAAAGACAGTGTTGCATTCCACTAGAAGAACTATAGTGGAATGCTGTAAAAAAGACAGTGCTGCATTCCACTAGAAGAACTATAGTGGAATGCTGTGCAACAGCATTCCACTATAGTTCTTCTGTTTCTTTATTCTCCGTCTTCTTCTTATTTCAACAAAAAGTTTGGCTCTCAATAACTTCAGCATACTTTCAGCTACAGAAACCATTCAAATATCAAAATATTCAGCCTTTTCAGCACATGATGGGAAACTTTCAACTTTTTCAAAATATTTTATACTTTCTGAAATATTCAGCTTTTCAAACTCTTTTTTTAACATGTAACAGTTGCCATGGAAACTAAATGCAGAACCCAAACATGGGTAACCTCTTAGGACCCCATCTGCCAAAACTCTAAGTTATATTCAACGAGTCAATCAATAAACCAAATTCCATTATGGGTACGAAGTCATGTCTACTGTCTGGTTCATTGCTTAATCCTGTCCCAGAGAACATCATTAGCAACAATGTTTCCTGTAAAAGACAGTAGGATAACAGTCTATCATAAGCAAAACCATGACTACCAACTTCCTGGTAAATGCCTGGTGACATCATCATGTCATTCAGATGGCGAACACTCACATGTATGCTTTGATAATGTGGGTTTTCATCACAGATTACCAGAGAAACACATGCAGTTGGTTAGGCACACAATCACTCACAAACATTCACCAAACGCCACCAACCCCTGTCCTCCAGCAGACACTCTGAGTCTCCCTGCCACTGGAACCACTATCCGTCTATTGTCCTCCAGCAGACACTCTGAGTCTCCCTGCCACTGGAACCACTATCCGTCTATTGTCCTCCAGCAGACACTCTGAGTCTCCCTGCCACTGGAACCACTATCCGTCTATTGTCCTCCAGCAGACACTCTGAGTCTCCCTGCCACTGGAACCACTATCCGTCTATTGTCCTCCAGCAGACACTCTGAGTCTCCCTGCCACTGGAACCACTATCCGTCTATTGTCCTCCTGCAGACACTCTGAGTCTCCCTGCCACTGGAACCACTATCCGTCTATTGTCCTCCAGCAGACACTCTGAGTCTCCCTGCCACTGGAACCACTATCCGTCTATTGTCCTCCAGCAGACACTCTGAGTCTCCCTGCCACTGGAACCACTATCCGTCTATTGTCCTCCAGCAGACACTCTGAGTCTCCCTGCCACTGGAACCACTATCCGTCTATTGTCCTCCAGCAGGAATGTGCTTGGGCGCACATAACACAGATGAAGAGTCTGTCCGCAGTGGAGATGTAATCAGCGTTCCTGGATGCTGCAAAGAAGAGTTGACAAAACCGAGGTCGTCTTTGGTCGTCCACCCATCACTACCATTCCTTCGTTCTGCCTCACTCAGACTATAATAGGAGATTTGAGCCTCAGAGACATTACGTAGAGGATTAAAAAACACCAGTAGCTTTGCACATTCATTTTGACTAAAGGCCCAAAGAGGCGTGTGAGTTGTTGATAGTTGATACTCATCAATTCCACTCAATTCAACTTTACATCTAAATTACATTTGAAAATGATGTGATTAAAGTATTCTGACAAGTCTCTGTACTGCCTGTCTTATTTAATGTCATGGGCGTAGATGTGAAAAAGAGGGTTGTGGAACAGAGGCCTGTTTTGTCTGGTGAAATAACTGAGGGACCAGGGAGCTAGCCACCTAACAAATGAGAAACAGGTTTATACCCAGACAACAAAACCAAAGAATATGCAATACTTTGTCCTCTGGAAAGGATAAGTATGGGTAAGAATGCAGAGAGGCAGACACACTTGAACTG